GACTAGTTGCAAGGCTGCAAAGCAGGCTGCTACCACCTTCCATGCCCATGAGATGTCAGTCGCACTAGTCCGCGGTAGGGTCTGTTTAGAGGTAGTCCAAATGGCCTTGTATGGAGAAGCCAGCATACTGACGATTATGCCAAGCTTAGAACAAAACTAACAAATGGTGGTAGTAGAGAGGCAGGAACCGGAAACGCAAGCAAAAACAAAACAAAATACGTATAACGAGTATCTAGAAGTTGGATTTACCTTGGGCAAGACGAGTGAGCGAACGAGTGATTCCAAGGGAGGAGATTTGATGCAGGACTGTAGCTGAGGTCTGTGGCCCCTCAGAGGCTCATTTAGGCAGACCTGTAGAACTATTCTCTTAACGGCGAACTGACATCCCCGTTCCCCGTAAGTTACACACACAATGTCCATAAATAGTCTGTTTCATAAGATAGATTCCGAAGGTGATGGACGCCCAGGTTACCTATATCATTGAAATGTATTTCTGTTGGGCGACTAAACCCACGAGGTGGTAAGTCTCATATGCTTAAATATGAAATGCTGCGACTTGCCAAACTTTTGGGCCCTGGTCGGTAATCCTATTTAGACAATATGAGTGCTGATCCCACCCCTAGGACATTATGCGAGTACCCGTGGCCCTGTCTACCCCCTGATTTATTGTGCAGAAACCCCGCGGTCCCATTGCTCTTGCGATTTGATAGGTGTGATGACGTCACAAAAAAGGCGAAAACAAAACGCATTTTCATAGAATATGAATAGTTCCCTATAAGCGCATGACTATAACCGGCCAGCACTAGAAGAATATGTTGAAAAGTTATACTATCATCTAAGACACACTATTGACAACTATCTCGAAGTCTGCTATGTAGGTTACCTATTCTATGCTATATGAAACTAGGTTAACGTTTGTTTTTCATGGCATCTTTCATGATATCAAAGTAAGTTGTCGCAAGAATGTTATCGTCTTTATATTGGTGCATGAATTCCCCGTCTAAACGTACCCTTAATGGATTAAGTTCCTCAATACACCCATAATATTATGTCCTAGTCGGACCGAAATGGTCACCATGGTCGCACGAGGATGATTATTGCCCAGCTTCCTACCCTGTTTTATACCTGCTCTTCCCAACAACGAAATAGCTCATTCGGCGTCTATATACCCAACCACTTGCTTTCTGTCATCCCTTCCACACATAACAAAGTACATACGACCATAGGGTGTGAAAAAATAGGGCATTCTGTTCGCTCAGCCATACTTAAGACAGTTAAACTATATTGTTTCTCCATACACCCTTAGCACTTAAGCGGCACTCCAAGGTAAGTACGAGTGATGTAGGCGAGAAGTCTAGAGACAGAAGTAAGCGAGGTAACAGTTACTATCTGGGGTGATAAGGCGTAATCTATGTGCTTAGAGCCGCCTGTTATATGTGAATATTAAAATAAGAAAACGTGGATAATATTACCTAATATCGCGAGCTAACGCCTATTACGCTAGAAAAATACGAACGTCTGATAACTACTTCATACACTCCAAACAATGACTGTCATCGTCGGTTTCTAGAAGACTAACGGCTATGATTGTGGCTGAACCCCGCCTTGCAGAACAGGCAGGTAGATAGCATCGGATGTCATCGGACCCCTGAAATGAACGACGAACGGAGTTGGTTCCAAGGTTCAGAGTAGCGCATTCACGTGGAGAACGTGGGTGTGGATTCAACTCACCTTATCAGGTTAAGGATGTTTCTCCGAGCCAATAGGAACCAATGGCAACCATGAATCCTCCAACTATGACTCGCCTTATCAGTGAATTGCCGAAATATCCATGGATAGCCTTGGCGAAAGATAAGGAACGTGCTAATAATCTCCGACAGCTAGACCGAGAGAACTAATTCCCTGGCTAGTCCCTTTGGATCCATTAAAATCAGGTACCCCAAATTGGTCATGCATACCAGATCACCTTATCACTGAAAGTATCTCGATAACCGAATGTACCGATCTGAGATAAGTTGGAGTAGTACATGATGGTGGAATGTGTGTGTATATATATATGCGCCTAGATTATGTCCAGGCTTTTGATGAAAAGTACCTTTTTGCAAACTATCAATCCCTAGTGTAGAGTGTCTAGGTCAATTATCATGATCTCTCCTACTGGTTCATACGGGCTACCAGCTCTGTTGTCAGTCCTGCTGTCACTCTCCACCACCACTATCGCGACAATCACTTCCAAGGGCCAAACGGTTGAGCTCAATGGAAACACTTATTACATTCCCGCAAGAGTAGTAACAACCCTGAAAGCTGATGCGCACGTGTTCGGCAAATTAAATAGCTTGCAACCTCTGACAGTCATTCGGAGCGATGCCTCGAAGCTAACAAGCGCCATCCTTGATTCATTGGTGAGCAGCTACGAGACTGCTGACGATGTCTTCAACGCTGGGTTCCTCGACAACATCTACGTCGAGTACAACGGTACCTCCAAGGATCCCTCCGAGAATGTGTCAACTCATTCTTCATGGGGCCCTAAAATCCTTGGATATGCATCTGCATATAGTACCAAGAAATCAAAGACAGTAACTTCATCGTCGACACTGCCCGCTGGTCCATACTTCTTGGATCCGTCCAGTGGAGCCGTTTTTGAAGCCTGGCTATTGTATTCCGATGTGATGGGCTCTTTCACTCAAGGATTGGTGTCGGTTGGTGACGATAAGTACGATGTTTTGCCGGCAAGCTTGCAGGGCTATGCATCCTTGACCATTGGTGTTCCTTCGCGGCTGTACTATACTAAGACAGCGGATAAGCCTTTGGCTGGGGTATGTATTCTCCACCCTTCGCTCATTTCATAAGAGGGTGCCCTTGAGTGACAGACGTGCAATACTGACTATTTATTTACTCTAGGTTCGTCTCGGTGTTAAGGATATCTATGATATCAAGGGTGTCAAGACCGGTTGTGGCAACCGCGCTTACTATGAAACGTACCCAGTCGCTAACACCACTGGACCTGCAATCCAGTCCCTCATTGATGCGGGTGCCATCGTTGTCGGAAAGATGAAGACCAGCCAATTTGCCAACGGTGAGACGGCCACTGATGACTGGGTGGATTACCACTCCCCCTTCAACGCCCGCGGTGACGGTTACCAAGATCCTAGCTCATCCTCGTCCGGTCCTGGCTCTGGCATTGGAGCCTATGACTGGTTAGATTTGGCAGTTGGAAGTGATACCGGAGGCTCAATTCGCAACCCTTCGCAGGTGAACGGATGCTTCGGTAACCGACCCTCATGGAACTTGGTCTCGTTGGATAACGTTATGCCCATGTCTCCGCTTTTGGATACTGCTGGGTTCCTGACAAGAGATGTGCAAGTGTGGCGCGCTGCTGCAGAGGTGATGTACAAGGATGCAGGCCTGAAGTCCTACACCAAGTACCCCAAGTCTATCAAGACGATCGATTTCCCAACTAATGCCTCGACCCCAGCCGAGGGACTTTTGGTTGAGTTTGTCGACAAGCTATCGTCCTTCTTGGGTGGTGCAAACGTTTCTGCATTTGATTACGATGCTCTCTGGGAATCCACCAAGCCTTCGACTGTTGCCACCAATACGACCCTCAACAGCATGTTGGCTCTCACTTACCCTATCCTCATTTCGAAGCAGCAATATCCCCTCATTGCCGCACCACTGTATGCAGACTATGCGGCTGCCAATGGAGGTCGCAAGCCGTTTATCAACCCCGTGCCTCGGTCCCGTTGGGATTGGGGACTTGGATACCCGGAATCGCAACTGAACACTGAAATTGAACACAAGAACACCTTTACCAGCTGGTGGAATACAACTGCCCAGGTTTTTGACGAGGAGACTTGCTCGGACAGTTTGATTCTTTACATTGGAACTGAAGCCACACCGACCTACCGCAATATTTACCGGAGGTATGTGCTTGTCCTTGCCGATATTATAGGATATCTGAGAAACTGTTTGCTAACACATTGGAATCAAATAGCATGCCGGGTATCCCGAAAGGATTCGCTACATCCCGTATCGCTAACTTTGCTGGTGTGCCTGATATGGTCGTTCCGAGTAAGTTTAGCCTTCCCTTATTACTTGAGAAAAAAGCCTTCAGAAGGTTTAATTTGAGACCATAACTAATGACAATTATAATTTAGTCGGCCAAGCGCTCTACAATTCCACCATTACCGAGCAGCAGGAATATTTGCCTGTCGCAGTAGATTTCATCGCACCTCACGGCTGTGATCTGATGGTCTTCAATCTGATCAATGAGTTGGTCGAAGCTGGTATCGTGAAGCAGCCTGGCGCCGGATCCACTTTGTACGGAGACGAGGTGACTTACTATTAAGGAAATGAGTGGATAGCTGCCCATGTAAGATATAGATTCGGTTTTATAAAGATCATTTTTTCTTTTCCCCCACGGCCAACATTTGACTTACTCGGGTGGGCTAGCTACAGACCACCAGCAAGTCCGCATTACCTTTCTCTTAAATTATATTTATCTCTACGATATGATATGTGATTAGAATTTCTCATTAAGTTTGGCCAAAAAAAGTATTTGGGGGTAATGGTCCACTCGCGTGTTCCGAATTAAGTCCTAGAGATGTTACAGTCAAATGTTTCAGGATTGTGGGGTTTCTTTATTCGTAGTAGGCCGATATGCCGTCTCTGCTATAGCCCGTGCTGGAATTCCACTTACCGTGTGTAAATATTGGCGGATTTGATCCAATATACCATCCATCTCTATCAAGATTAAAGCTGGCGGCGGGTATTAACCGCACAACCCTTGTTTGAAAAATATCGAATGATTTGATTTGAAACAAGTGCATTTTTTTATTTATCCAAAGAAACTGATAAACAATAACGTTGCATGATTGACAAACTTTGTGGCTCAAATGGCAAAATCTCGTGGTGCCGAACGAGTGTAAGAGTTTTCAGTATAAATTTATCATGTTTAGTTCAACACCCGCAACGCCCCTGAACCCAGCGGTGCCTCCCATTTAAGCGGCATTGGCTTCCCAGTTGGTGACAGTGAGAGTGCCATCGCCAGTGAAGGGCTCAGTACCAAATTGCAAGTCTAAGAGTATCACCATTAGTAAACGATATCTAAGGCAAGGGATCGATAGAGAAACATACTGATCAGGTATTGGGAGTCAGCAGGGTAGGAGTGGCTCTTGACCAAGAGGTCGAAGAACTCCTTGATGTCAGTGTTGAAGGAGGTGACAGGGCTCCCAGCAACAAAGCTGTAGACGTTCATATCGCCGTTCTTGCCGTTCCAGAGCTCCCAGGTGTGTCCACCAACATCAACCGAGTCGACCTTGCTGCCAATAGGGCTGATGCTTCCATAGCGGCCGAGCCTAGGGGGAGACCAACTGTCAGCCAAAAAGAAACTCTCACATAAAGATTCAATTGAATAGATCTCACCAGATCATCAGCTCGTAGTCACCGCTGTAAGTGGCGTGGTTCTTGTCAGCTGCAGTGAAGAGATCGTAGGCAACATCGGCGTTGATATTGTCATTATCGTATTTCCACTCGGCGGATGTTTTGATGCTCGTAAGCTCGCTAACAAGCTTGACGTCAAGCTTCACTCCCGAGTTCGGGAAGGTCTTGACCGAGCTGTCGGCACCGGACCAGGACCACTTGGTGTGCCAGGAAACACCGCTGTCGGAGATGCTGTCGACGTTGGTGCACTGCGAGCCGCTGCCCGAGTCCTTTCCCCACATGTTGTTGTTGACGGTGTAGATACCTTTGTTGTAGCTGCCATACTGTTCGCAGAGCTCCTGGGCAGAGGCAGCAGCGGCAAGAGCGAGGATCAGAGTGGTCTTCATTGTGGAATTGAGATGGCTGGACTTTTAGGGTTAGAAGTTCTTGAATTGATAGTCAGATGAATTGATGAGCTTGCGAGTGGAATTGAGGGGCGACTCGAGTGGCCTTTATATATCTTTTTAGGCGGCTTTCTAATGCTTACAGATTTGTTTGATTGATTATATCAAGGGTGCAATATGTGAGACCTAAGGTGGTTCTTGTGACGTCTTGACGCTACACCCTGGCTATGTCGTAGAGTTTCAGATTGAGATGGAATACCCGTGTTGTAAACTGCAGGACCCATGTAGATCTCGAGTAAATGGATCACGGAGTCAATTGAATGATTTTGTTGAGGTCGTGTGGTAGCATTTAACCTAAAGTATAGTAAAGAGGTTGTTCGCTTCGAAGTGTAACACATGACAGGTAAAACATTCAGTGCCAACGATGTATATACAAGAAGGGCGAGTTTAGCCTCAGTTACAACTTGTAGTTTCAGTCCGGCTAAAATGGAGGTTATTTCATGTGATTATGGATTCGGGGTTGGGGTTGGTATCGTCTTCACCTACACTACAGAGTAATTCCTCTAATTCTCTGGAGTGGATGAAATATATCGGATCTATCTCTATGTAATGAGTGATAACTCTACTAATCCTAACAATTTCCAATTGTAAATGGAATGAAAAGTACCCCGTATATGCTCTATAACATACGAAGTGGATTTGTTACATGCTATGCTGTCACTTCATGAAACATGGTGGGTCAGCTATCAGGGGATGAAGGATGAATCTAGAATCCATATAGGCTCGCAGATCGGGGAGTCTTCTTCTTGATTGGCTAGCTCACTTTTATAATCTTCCGAGGTTGGAAGTCTCCCAGAGCTTTTTTTCAAGGGGACCCAGGCCGGGACATATCTCATTTCAAAGGGCTAAATGGCGATCTCTTCTCCATTATATATCCTTCAATTAAAGGATCCTTGTCTATCATTTCCCTGTTTAAACTGAGCTTACTTCGGGTATCCAACGGTCGCAGATATACCCTAATTAGGTTAGTACCTTTTTACCGTCGCACTATATATTCAGTTAGGCACATTCAGACACCCGTGGACACCCTTAAGGTTGGTCAGCCTCATCATACTTACTGCCTGGCTTAACACACTAATAATGGGCTGGTACACGCCATACTAGCCGATGGATCTGGAATACAATGGTGAAATACATGGTTGGATATAGGGTATTTTACTCAGAATTTTATATAACTACCCATTGGCGAGTCCTACACAAAATTGCATATTAAGCTTAGATTATCCGTTGAGATGTCCGTTCTTATCATTTCAGAGAGAGTCATCCATGGATACATATTGTTAGCAAGATACTGTTGGCACCTAGCCAGGTACCTCCATAGTTAGGTATGCACCTATGTAGACAGGGCAGCAGGTGGCTTGGTGCATATTGCTTCAAAATACAACCTGGTACTAACGATCATTTACAGGAGGAAACATGGCAAGTGGTATAATGAGTTCAATAACGACCGGCAAACACATCACTATCGCTGCCTCTGTGCGCAACTTGTGTTTTTCACATTTTCCCTCACGTCGCTTTTATTCCCTATCTGCATCCGCTTCAAACCGGCCCAGCAAACGATTCAAGCTAGACAAGACCATGGCCTGCAGAGCACCTGGAGATGGGAGTCCGTTATTTGAGGGCTTTACATTGGGAGGTTATTAATTCTGATACGATCGGTTTTCCGTCTTATCGAATACGCGCAAGGGAATGACGGATATCTGATTAGCCATGAGGCTTTCATGTATGAGTTCACCTCGACACTGATGTTATTTGCAATGGTGGCGATGAATGTGCTTCACCCGTCTGTGACATCTCCGCTTCTTTCAAAAAAAAAAAAAAAAAAAAAAGAAAAGAATTTTGGGCTCAGTCCGGACAGCATAATTCGGCATCATCTGAGTATACCCCGTAAATAAAGTCGCCGGGTAAGTACATGGAATATTAAGTATAAACCGTTGATAACAGGCCCCCGTGCATAATATTGAGGCGCTCTACCATCAGAGTGGTGGATTTATGATCCATCCGGAACCTTCAGGTTGAGGGTCACCAAACCAATCCTGGGCTAGTGACAAATCATAATCTAGGCCAGGAATGGCCTCGAATTCACCTAGCTCATTGGGGAAAGACGAGAAAAAACCATCAAAGGAAGGAACAGAGTTGGGCGAGCGCTGTTCAGACGGCATGTCCAAATCTGTCGAGACGAGGACATCGCGACCATCTAGCGGATCACCTCGCCAAAGTTTTGCCCATTCTTTGAATTGATCATAGCCCGTGGTATGATCTGTCATGCTGCTCTGCTCTGCCACGGTATGATTATGCAACCGTTGCCTTGCCCGCTCAAGAGCTTCGATGACAGCCACTTCAGATCGCGCAGATTCCAGCCCGGAACAGATCTGACGGATAAGTTCCATACCTTGAGTTAAGACGCTGGATATCTGGCTTGTTGGTTCGTTGATGCTGTGGGCAATGAGCGCCAATAAAGCAACGCGGCATCCATTGAACTCGGTGTACGAGACGCGCGCGAGACCGACGGAGTTTTGTAAAAGCTGGCAAAGCTCGATCACTCTAAGCGCGGCATGAAGTGAGTCTTGTCGAAGAGTGTTCACAATATCTGGGACTTCATGAATAGTTGAGCCCGAGTCCAGGTTGAATGACCCAGATGTTGTCTGGGATATGATGAAAGGACGGCCCATGTAAATCAAGGTTGTCCTGTAATAAATTTCAAGGTGCACATTGCAACGAAAGTATGCTCCAGCAGGGGCGAGATTTCGGCAGTGGATCTCAGAGGGAAGACTTTCCCACCATGAGCTTAGTCGATCGCGGGTTGCGGCAAGTTGCCGAAGATATTTCTTCTTTCTGGCCCTTTGGCAACGCCGCAGCGACCTCATCGATTCTGCAGCTTTTGCCAAATAATTTGTCAAAACGATCATAGCGGTGAAGTTGGGTAGGTTAGTCAATTGGTCAATTGGTCGTAGAGACGGAAGATCGACAGGCATGGGGGCATCGATTTCGGTAGGAGACACAGATACTGGGCGGCCATGTAGAATACCGATGCGACTTTCTGGGAAGTTAGAACATTCTGGACTGCGTAGTTGAAGGTGATTGGCTAGCTTGGGGATTCCTACCTTTCCAGTGAATATGCAGACCACCAAAGGCGATTTCGTACCTCAATAATCTCTGGGGCCACGTTTCCATCAAATAACTTGCGGTGCATGCCATTTTGGATTGCCATCTTGATTGCGAGGCCATAGTAAACGTATGCCAAACCTGCTGTGTCGATCGGCAAAGTATAAACACCCAGAAGTAAGAAGGCCTGAACAGTCTCCACACTTGCAACCGTGATAAGATCTGGAATGAGTCGACACGAAAATCGATAGAGCTCCAACCCTATTTGGTCATCAGGACCAGTTTCGGTAGCAGAGGGACTACTACCAGTTGTCGATTTGGTCCGCATATGCGCAAACTGTGTGCCAATTGCAAAAGTCATGAGAAGAGTGCATATCCAACCAGCGTCATTGATCGACAGTGGGTTCTCAGTCGCATAGTAGAAGTCAAGTTTCTCACGGAAAGTAGGCTCGTGAAAGTAAAAATAATTGGTTTGGCTGAATTTCAAAAACGCACTTGTCAAGAATTCCGCGATATGCTTTGGGGGAAGATATGTTTTAGCAAGGGCGATACAAGAGCCAGATGACTGCAGAGCAGTAGCCCGAAAGAAACCCTCAGCCTGGTCAAGCTTCTGAATTTCCTTCATTAGCAGGGTACATAACAAGTCTCACAGAGGCTTTTGTTGGCAAGTTCGCGGTAGGGCTCACCGGACATACTTTGCCTTTCCCTGTCCTTTCTCCAAGACTTTGTAGTCGCCGTCCGAGCATTCTGGAGAAGTTCCAATGGGATAATTCCCCCGAATAATCTTTGGAGTCATGTCAGCTGGGTAAAAGTGAAACTTAGGGTAGACACATACGCATTGTGCTGGTCGAAAGAGGATCTATAGAGTAGTCATTCGTCGAGGTGGCATCGTTTGAATCGACTGAATCACTGTCCGATTGCTCCTGACCCTTACCCTGATCTAGGGTGTCTGCAATTTCCTGTAGGTTGCTGGTCTCAAAAGAGACGTCACCCAAAAAGTGAGTGATAATCCGCTTCATTTGAAATTCGTTGGCATGGGGTTCTAACGGCTTGTCATCACTTCCAAAAAGATGAGTTACTGATTCCAGATGCAGCAAGATGGTTGAAAGAGGCTCACCTAGGTGGGTCATTGCGTGTTACTGGTATTTTTCGGTGGCTGGCACTCTCAAAACGACATGTCCTTTGATGCTGTTGGCACCGAGCACAAGGATTGCCACCTCCGCCTTTTCAGTTAGATCAGTCAGTCGTATGCAAAGGTGGCCACAGTCGGAAGTCATGACAATGAAATCATTGAGGAAATACATTTTTCTTTGTGTTGGCGACAAGGCAAGCACCTGAGTCGCAGACAGTTAGCCTATTGGAACTTTGTCTCGATTAATACATGGCAGGTCCTTACGCTTGTGCTGCCCTCTTTCGTAGCGCCTCAGGTACACGGGGTCGCCTTTGCCTACCCTTGCGTATCTTGGTACCTGGCTCAGTCATTGCAATGTAAGGCAAGAGCTCAGATGTTCTAGGCACGTAAAAATCAAGGTAGTGGTGGATGGTGGATACCGGTTACTTTTTGCCCTAGGCAGACCTCGGGAAGTCCATGGCATAAATGACGTAAGCGACATTTTGATCCATGGATAATCCACAGATAAGCGATAAGTATAAGCGATAAGGGACGAGATAACAAAGAAAGCGATGAAACAAATGTATAGCTTCATAGACCACGAGCTTTCGTCGGTCAAGTATGTGCTTGGCGAGAAAGATAGTCGAGACTGCAATTATGTTTGGATCTTTCTTCCGCATCTGAGAGTCTACTCGTATAGGTTGGAAGATGTAGGCCAGATTTTGCCCATGGTGTATGTGCAACCTTATATATCTCTATTTGTCGTCTCAGTACCCTAGAAATGTAGGCATATGAACAAGTAGCCTCACAATTTTGACAGACAATGTTTTGTTGCTTCCAAGTCGAGATGACAAATGCTTTGGACCCACGCGTGCGAAGGGGCAAAGCGGCCAAAGGTCAAATGCCTGATTTTGTAGGAATGATGTCTTGATATGCCTGAATTATAGACTACTTTCGACACCGCTCTATACCATATATTGTAAATTGAAGCTATTCCTAGTTATGCAAACTATATATAAGAATAGTTGGTTGGTTATACGGCCTCGTCATGTCTTATTAGGTGACATGTTTAGATATACTTTTGGTTAGTCTTTTTAGATATTCTCTCTAGATATCTCTTTAGATATCTTTTTAGATGTCTTCTTAGGTATATATAAAGGCGGCAAAAAAAAGCACACGTATATGTAAAACAAGGCATAATTCAGGCATATTCAAGCACCAAGCCTAAAAAAATCAGGCATTTGACCTTTGGCCGCTCTGCCCCTTCGCACACGCGGGTGCACGTACCCGGGTCGGGAGCATGAAAAGTCCCCATCAGCCTTTCGAAATAAAGGCAAGCGACGGATCTTGACTCATAACTATTGCAACACACCTGGCTGGTAGCCTTTTTCTTTCTCTGTCGTCATGAAAGAAGTTTTCCCCGAAGGAGGGTTTCCGCCACTGCGGCCGCTGGGTAAGGATGTCCACTTCCTTGATTATTCAACTCCTAATAGCCATTAGGACATGCGGAAAAATATTCTACAACGCGGAGTCATTTGGGGATTTATCTCAACGTGGCTTTGACTGCCTGCTACAAGCGACCAAGCGGAGCACCCGTGAAACCGGCACTCTTTTACGCTCTCTCGATACTCATCTCGAAGCACCCTATACTTTCGGCCATTCCATTTGCTATCGATACACCAAATCCTTACTTTGTCCGTCTTCCTAAGATTACACTCAGTGAAGTTGTGTCCTTAATGGAAGAGGAAGCGAATCCTTCCAGCTCGGATGGGAGAGAGACCCTCGATAAGGTCCTCCAGGAGCAACACAATTGTCCCTTCGAGATTGACCCAAAAAGGCCTCTTCCATTCTGGAGATTATGCGTTCTGGAGAGGAGTAGTTCTCCTGAAAGCTTTATCCTTGTGTTCGTGTTTCACCATTCACTCATGGACACCCAAAGCGCTCTTTCGTTTCACGAAGAACTGGAAGGATATATGGCTCAATATGCCGGTCTTGAGCCAAGTGATACAGTCTACAGTCCATCTAATGCCCTTGTTCCTCCACTAGAGGGCTTGTGTACACTTCCTGTTTCAAAGGAGTTTTTTCAGTCTCAAGAAAAGGGTAGTGAGCCATCACCCGATAGCTGGACGGGTGCTCCCCAGTTCACACCTGTAAAGACACGCTTTTCTTCTTTATGGCTATCTGAGGTTGACACGAAAGTCCTCATAGCACTGAGCAAAAAGGAGCAGACCTCCGTGACAGCGACAATTCAAGTGCTCATCGCGACCTGCATCTTCTCTGTTCTTCCGACAACATATCATACACTACAGGGCGACTGTGCGGTCTCACTGAGAAGATTTCTCCCAGAGCCGGTCACTGCGACCACTTTGGGTTGCTATGTCGGATCGTTATCCACAAAGTACCACAGAAATACATCTTTTAATTGGAATGAGTCTCGCCGCACCAAGGTGGCCATCGAACATGTCATGGCACAGAAAGGCGGTAACATGCCGGTCGGATACTTGCCATTCATTCAAAACCAACACCACTGGATGTTACAAAAATTGGGCCAGAATAGAAATAGTGCATTTGAGTTGTCCAACATTGGGACAACTTCTACACTGCGAGGAGGAACGAACTTCAAAATTGAGAGTATGTTGTTTAGTCAAAGCTCTAGTGCTTGCAGCGGTGCGATCAAGGTCAGTGCTGTAACAGGGCCGGATGGAAGATTGGCGCTGGGCTTCACCTGGCAAGAAGGGGTGATAGAAGCCGGCATGATCGAAAAGGTCCAAAGCGCCCTCAAAGGCGAGATAAAAAGATTAGCAGTGTCTGCATAGGGTTACCGAATACCAAATGGCTACATAAAAATCTCTTTCAATTATCCACAGTCTAAATTTAGTGGTCTTTAACCAACATCATTTGACAAGACGTTAATATGTTCACGAATGAATGAATAATAATGATTTACATTTAACCCGAGCTCGACTTGTCCCATTGCAGCAGCATATACAAGAAAATGATAAACGGAGAGGTAGCACAGAAAATGCCTCGGGACCTTTTTCTGTCGAAGTTTATCGTGACAATAAGAGTGCTGTCATCGTGGGTTGATAGCTCGTGAAGCTTCACCGTCGACTTCGGTTATGATGTCAGTATCTCGGGTCTCAGTACCCGGAAGGGTCCAACTAAAAGGCAACGCCCATCCTCCTTCAATTCAGACCCTCGATTTCTCGTGCACAGATTTTATCATTATCACAACTATACATTCACAATGACTCAACTTTCTGACTACCGCGTGCTTTCCTTTGATGTCTATGGCACCCTCGTCGACTGGGAGGGAGGCATCCTCGCTGCATTCCAGCCCACACTGGACAAGACTGGGGCTCAATTCTCACGCAAACATCTGCTCACTGTCTACCACGAGCTAGAGCGCGAGCAGCAAAGCAAGACTCCTGATATGCCGTACCATCAGTTGTTGACCACTGTGCACCCCAAGTTCGCCCAGCGTCTGGGTTTGGAGATCCCCTCCCAGGAGGAAAGCAACCGATTTGGGGAGTCGGTCGGTAGCTGGCCCGCATTCCCAGATACCGTTGATGCTCTCAAGCGTCTCTCCAAGCATTTCAAGTTGGTGGTTCTATCGAATGTTGATCGTGCGTCGTTCTCCAAGACCAACGCAGGCAGCCTAGAGGGTTTCCCCTTCGATTTGATTATCACTGCTCAAGATGTGGGCTCTTATAAACCCGATCTTCGAAATTTCGAATACATGCTCAGCAAGGTGAAATCAACATTCAACATTGAGCCCTCGCAGGTTCTCCAAACTGCCCAGAGCCAGTTCCACGACCATCATCCTGCCAGCAAGATTGGAATTAAGTCTGCCTGGATTGAGCGACCCGGCGCCACCATGGGAAATTTGTCGGAGAATATTTATGATTGGCGGTTCGACACTATGGGCGATATGGCCAAGGCATTTGAGGCTGGACAGTAGATATTGATGTATGAAGTGATATCTCTGTACCTACGCGGTGCTTGAAAGCAACCTCTTTTTCTCTTTTTGTTTACATGCGCAGTGATTCCTTACTCAAATAGAACGGTTCATTGACAGCTCATCGAAGGGCGCTTAGCAGACCCATGGTTTTCCGGACTACCTTCATCAATTGTCCACAATTTTCTCATTCTTCGATTAGTGGGCTTTGTCTTGCATGTCAATGAAATTAATGTACTCTCTTTACTGTATTCTGTCTCAATGGAACTGTTTGGATAGTGAGTGGCCTTAGTACCTCGCCCATATGCTCCAATATCTCACAATCTCTATAGATGCAGTCTTCACCCACCCAGTTTCTTCACGCAAGGAATACTTTAATTGCATTACTAAAGTATATTATTTTTTCACATGCTTAATCTCAATTTATTTTCAGCGTTCTACTACTCCCCACTCTGCACAGTTGATGCTTTTTACCACCACATAAACCGCAAACGACATCTAAAAAGACCACCAAAAAGACCACCGAAACCAGACAACAAGGCCGCATAAGTGGCCGACTATTCTTGTAAGGTTACTGGCTTGAAAGCCCCTCTTAAACTTTTGCACAGTAATTGCTGATTTCAATTTGAAACAAAAAGGTTCCTTGATATGTTGAAGGGTTACACATGATTGGATAACATATCTACTGCTGATAATTACGGAGGACAATTCGTAAGGTGTTTTGCCGTGACATCGCCACTCAGATCTCCCGGGTACATGTACCCGAGTCTAAGACGTCACATTATCGAAGGAGGGACAAAGAGCGGGTGTACTACTAAGTTCTGTAAAGCCGGATAAAAATTTCATCTAGTGTTCCAATGTGCCCTAAAATTCCCCAACAATGTAACGGAATGATTGCCGAGTATATGGCTGTCACTGACTTGTATCTAAGCCCGGTCCGAGTCCACCGGCATTGCCAAAGAAGCCGGCGGGTAGAAACAGAACAACATATATTTGTAATATAAATTATAAATACCATCTAACAATACGTTCTCTTTGATCACATATAAGGTAGCACACACTGCTAGACACTGTATGCGTCTCATCAGTCTCAAGCATTTATGGCCATCAGTTCGCCAAGCAAGAATACGAACATTCAGCATGTCTCATACCGTGCCACAAGTAAGTCGAGAACTCAATTTCCTGTTATTCAGGATAAATTTAGGATTTCAAGGTTGACTTGTAACTTCAGTTGAAAGACAAGTCTTTATTCATTGGGAAATGCCACATCAACGGCGAATGGGTTGGGGCTCAATCCGGCAAGACCTTTGAGGTCACTGGTAGGGAAGGCCACACACAGTCTATGTTGTTAAGCTGCTAACGGCGGATGATTAGATCCAGCAACCGACAAAGTCATCGGGACATGCCCAGAATTCAGCGCAAAAGACACCGAGAGAGCCATCAAGGCAGCCTCAGATGCATTTCCGATCTTTCGCAAAACGCTAGTACGCGAAAGGTCTCGGTTGTTGAGGTGTTGGAATGACCTCATCCTGCAAAATCTGGACGACTTGGCGACTTTGATAACTTGGGAGAATGGGAAACCGTTTGCAGAGGCCCAAGGCGAGGTCAAATATGCTGCAGCTTTCATTGAATGGTTCAGCGAGGAGGCTCCCCGGTTGTACGCTGATACAATTCCTACATCCATTCCGGGTAACCGAGTTTTAACAGTCAAGGAACCTGTGGGTGTCTGCGGCTTAATCACTCCGTGGAACTTCCCTGCCGCCATGATCACCCGTAAGATTGGCCCGGCATTGGCGGCTGGTTGTACGGTTGTTGCGAAAAGCCCCGGGGAGACTCCATTCACCGCTAATGCCCTTGCGGAACTCGCCCTTCGAGCAGGCATCCCTAAAGGTGTGATAAACATCGTGACTGCGCTGGAAAATACGCCCGAGGTGGGCCACACTCTCACCACTCATCCGGATATTAAGAAGGTGTCGTTTACGGGCTCAACCCGTGTGGGCAAACTCCTAATGGGACAGGCCTCCTCTAGTGTGAAGCGAGTGTCGTGGGAACTTGGTGGCAATGCTCCATTCATCGTCTTTGATGATGTGGAGGATATCGATATCGCAGTCGCTGGTGCTCTTGCATCGAAGTTCCGGGGTACAGGACAAACCTGCGTCTGCGCCAATCGAATATACGTCCAACGATCTCATTATGAGGCCTTTGCAGAGCGGCTTGTCAAGCGCATCAAGAACTTCACTGTCGGGCCTGGATTCGTCGAGGGTGTCACTCATGGGCCTCTCATCCACCGCGCTGCTGCACAAAAAGTTGCCGATCACGTTGCGGACGCTAAATCCAAAGGTGCTCGTGTCCTTCTGGGTGGGAGTTTAATTGATGAGCTGGGTCCCACCTTCTTTCAGCCTACGGTCTTGGCTGACATGACCCATGATATGCGCATCGCTCATGAAGAAACTTTTGGGCCCATAGCAGCGCTATTCCCCTTTGATACTGAAGAAGAGGTGGTCCAGCTAGCTAACCGCTGCGAGGTTGGCCTGGCAGCGTATATCTTCAGTGATAACATCAGGAGAGTCTTCCGCGTAGCGGAAGCTCTCGAGGTTGGTATGGTGGGTGTCAACACCGGCTCTGTCAGTGATGTCGCTGCTCCGTAAGCATCCCCCGCCCATTTTCACAATTTCCTTTCTGATCACTTGCTAACGCGACGAGCGATCTTGCAGATTTGGTGGCGTGAAAGAGAGCGGATTTGGCCGCGAAGGGAGCAAGTACGGAATTGAGGAATTTGTGAATGTCAAAAGCATCACCTTAGGTGGAATATTATAAGTCGGGTAGAGTTGACTTCTGACATGGAATGAATGAGTGATCATTCGTGGGTTAAAAGATGGTCAAGACTTGAGTCAGGCGTATATCTTAATTTCGCGGTCAATTCGAAGAGGCAACCAACTTTCTTCTGCAAAGGGGATTTCAGATTCCTGTACTCAAACTGTAATGGTTTCATGGTTTCTCATGTAACTTGCCCTGGATATTTCCACTCATCCTCCCTCGCTCCCAAACAAGTAAAAACGTGTAACCATTTGTGCTTTCCTACATTGAAAAGGGATACATGTTTGGATCAAAGAAAGGATAATTAGAAGGACAGTATGATGAATTTATAGTTACAATTTGAAATTAGTGTAGAAATAGGCGTTACTTTCCAGCAGCAAGGCAAGCAAGGACGGCCTCGCTACCTTGCGCCCTCGATACCTATGCATGACTTTGATATCATCAACGGTTAAGATGGATACACTTAGAGAACATTTAGCATCTTATGTCATTATACCAAAAAGACAACATGTCCGGTTATAATATTGCCGGATATTATATAGAATTCCCGGGTACCATCACCCGGCCATCTCTATGCGCACACATCTTTTAGAAAAATTGAAATTAACAAGCTTCCCTCATACACAAGCACTAATACTAATATTCCCTGGTATTTTTTAATCACCGTACAGCGAGTGGTTTTCTTTTTTTTTTTCTTCTGTTTCCACCACCGGCTCTTAGGCTGCCTACCCGGTCCGAGTCGGTTTGCTATGTGCACCAAAGCGCATATAAGCCCAACAAATCCCTTCCCTCAGGGGGTTTCTTTCCCAGAAATATCGATAACGGAGCTCTGTTACCTTTTTCTGGTTACTTCTCTTCTTTCCTTTTCTTTTTCGTCATGTCTTTTGTATCTGAACCCGCCGCGCCCTCAATCCGCACAGCAGTCCCCGGACCTGCGACGCACAGAATCAAAGAGGATTTAGATGCTGTGATTGATGCCCGCACTGTACAGATGGTCATTGATTACGACAAGAGCATTGGAAACTAGTAAGTCGTTAACCTACTTTGGCCCTCTTGGCGTATTTCCTAACGATTTCTTTCTAGCATCACCGACGTGGATGGCAACACCTATCTTGACGTGTATGCACAAATAGCCTCTATACCCATCGGATACAACAATCCCGCTTTAATTAAGGCCGCAAAATCACCAGAAATTGTCTCTGCCCTGGTCAATCGCCCGGCTGTTGGAAATTTCCCTTCCCACCAATGGCTTGCCTTATTGCGCGAAGGCCTGATGCGGGCAGCTCCTCCAGGATGCACACAAGTGTTCCCAGCGCAGTCCGGGTCCGAGGCCAATGATCTCGCCTTCAAGGCTGCTTTCATGGGCTATCGTCGGCAACAACGACGCGACGAACCTTGGACCGAGTATGAGCAGGCGACAGCAATGAAAAACCAGGCTCCTGGTTCCCCCGATTTAGCTATTCTCAGCTTCCGCAACTCCTTTCATGGTCGCAGCTTTGGCAGTTTGTCTACCACCCGCTCCAAACCCATACATAAGATGGACATTCCCGCTTTCAAGTGGCCCCAGGCCACTTTCCCCCAGCTCAAATATCCCCTCGAAGCCCACATCCAAGAGAACGCACAAGAAGAGGTGCGTTGCCTGCGAGAGGTTGAAACCATCATTTCTTCCTGGCACTGTCCCGTGGCTGGTATTATTGTTGAGCCCATTCAAAGCGAAGGTGGTGACAATCATGCCTCGCCAGCCTTCTTCCAGAAGCTTCAGGCTATTACCAAGGCACATGGAATCACCCTGATTGTCGATGAGGTCCAGACGGGCTTCGGAGCAACAGGCAAATTCTGGGCGCATGAGCACTGGGCGCTCCCCTCTCCCGTGGATATTGTGACCTTCTCTAAGAAGGCCCAAACCGCTGGATACTTCTTCAGCAATGAAAATCTTCGCCCCGATAAGGCCTATCGGCAATTCAACACGTGAGAAATTCCAAATTCAAAAATCCCTTGATCATTGTGAGAAATCAGATAAGCTGACCATATTAATCAGATGGATGGGAGATGCTGCCCGAATCATCATCTGCAATGCCATCATTGACGAGATTCTCAGCAAGAAGTTGGTCGAAAAAACGGTAGGCATCACCCTTCCTATCCCATCAAAGCCTATTTCTAACATTGTCTTTTCTCCAACAGGCTCAAGTTGGCATAGTTCTCTATAATAGACTGGCTACCTTGGCAGCCAAGTATCCCACCCGGATCCAGAGTCTCCGTGGAAAAAACATGGGCACATATATTGCATTTGACACGCCTGACTCAAGCACTCTACTCAAGAAGATGCGCGAGTTGGGTATCAATATCGGGAGCTGCGGAGTTCAAACCGTTCGGTTGCGCCCTATGCTGATCTTCGAGGAATCCCATATCGCTCCTCTGCTGGCGGCCTTTGAGACCGCGTTTTCACATTTGACATAGATCTACTCAAATAAAACCATTTTTTGTTCATGCGGATAATGTGTACCATTGAGTTTGAAAAACGATAAAACCCAAGAAGGAAGAATACACTGCCTTTATAACTCTTCATCGGCTAAGTAGTCCTCGGGAAGTGCATGGCAAATATAAGATTAATACATGTAGCAAACCTGCCGGAGTGACCGTAATATGTAACCCTTCCACGATGGAAGCACTTTTCTGGATATCCGAGTGTTTGAAAGGTCCTTTTAGTCTAAGAAATTGCGAAAGTGGTGAATTGAGAGGGCGGTCAATGGATGATAGTAGCAGAACAATCATGTCAGTGGTGAATGAAGGAAGCGATCGATCTGATATTTCAAGCCCAACATGTTGAGAAGTAAAATTTATCAAGACCTTTCCTTTCTTTTATAAAAATATTGTGGTATAGTATATGGACACTTCGCAACTTTTTGTGGGTTAAGTTGGGAGCAAGCATCATCAATACTTCGGATTCAATTCACCTTGTGCACACCCTATGGCTAGATCCCAATTGATATACAGTTGTTTGGATTACACCTTGTCTGGAAGATCATCGCCTATGTGACCTATGGGTTATTTTCTTCTGGAGAACCAATTCAGTTGGGAACCGAGTATATAGACTACTCTTTACTGGGAACGAGATGCCAGAAATAGCTTCGTGAAGCAAACTTTTCACTAAAGGCTCGTCCCACTAGACGATTATTTGTGAGACATAGTGGCCGATACCTTATAATCGGAGCGGGTTAATGGAGTCCAGGAGGTCCAGGTGCTCTTGCGTGCATAAGCCTTCCAGGGCCTCTATTGTAAATTGTGCTAAATTTAGGACAGTTAAAACCGAGAGGTAAGTGTGTGGTCGGTACTATTCAATTACTGGATTGATGAAGTGGTGGGCGTGTGATATTTATCAGGGACTTATAGAATCAAATGACTCCATTGTCTTCCGGAATTTCATCCCACCAAGTATCTCAACACTCATGTTACAATAAAAATGGCCCAATCACGTTCCATAAATACATGCCATCATAATAATCTCTTACCTACGTGATATTTTAAAGCTGGCTCCGGTTAATTAACCCCGTGGCATTTCTAAACCAAAGTACCATATCGCAATTTGGAGACACTATTTTCGAACGTAATGTGAGTCTAGTCAAATGTTGGCGTTGTGTAAGAAATTGACAAGCTGTTCCAGCTGTTTCTCAAGAGTTGCTGTTCTCTTAGTTCTTGACTGCTTTTCTGAAGTAATCAACTCTGACCTCTCCTTTCCCGAGTGCTTTCCCCTGACAAGTGACTTCAAAGCGTAATAGCCCACCACATTCGCCCAGTTGAACACGGATCTGATACTCCACAAAATAGTGTAACTGGCAGTCCACTTCAAAGTGGAGGCAGTTGGGTAAATGGACACGGGAGATGTCGCAAATCAGGCGACCAATCGACGCAGTTCCTGAAGAAAATTATAAGTATATAGGACAAGATAAAAGAAATGAAATGACAGACCTGTATCGTTGACGCTGGTAGGTGGAGGGTCTCTTTCCGAACAGCAAATGATGATTGTCTTGATAGCAGTCTCTCCTTGACGATGCAGCAGAACACCACTCTGTTCATGAACGTAATTCGCATTGTACCGTTCTCCCTGTAGATCGAATGATGCATTAGAAACAAGAGTTTCCATCTGACTCGACTCGAAGTTTCATCGAGCCTCGTTATTCGGGAATATATCACCTTTTTGATCACCCAATACAGCTGGCTAGCCTGGAAAGTAAGATGTGATACCGCAGCAAAAAGAGCCGCTTCATTTTTCAATGACTGATCTGTCAAAATCGGCCCTTGAAATCCGTAGTGGCATCGAACCACTCTGGTCCGAGGCCGGCAAGCGCCGGATCCCCATAAGACCGCCCCTTGGGCCACGGCCATTATCCTATCAAAGTGGTTTAGCAATTAACATGATAATAAATAAATGATCGTAAGCACAAACCCATCATCTGGCCTATGGATCACAAAGTCACTTCCGAATATCTTCCGAATATTTTCGTAGACATAAGGCGAAAGAGAGAATCCCCCCACAAGGACAATCTTCTGGAGCCTGTCAGCATAGATCTTGGCCAATCCGCTGTCCTTTGTAGTGCCGTACGTTAACCACGATTTCACGGGCAGAGCCATTCGCCTCTTCAATCTGACGTTGAATCGCCTGGACGATCCCCGCAAGAGCAGGGTGAAATAACATTCGAAGGTCGTCACTAGTTAATGAACGAAGTCAATGGTCAATCATCGTGAACTAGCAGGACTGGGGGACTGACTTTGATATTAGCACGGATTTCCGTCTTTTATCGTACCACCTAGCATCTAAAGGATTTTGCGGGGACATTTCTAACCGTAGATGGTGGATTGTTTCATTAGACTGACCAAATCTGCATTTGATTCTCTCGAAACTACCCATGAAAGCACTGGATAGATTGATGTGCCCCGACGGTAAGCTTTCGAAAGCATCACCGAACCTCTCACACATGAGCCGGTAGAATTCCCTATCAATCAAAGTGGATCCGCACAGTTCCCCTAGTTAATGTCAGTTTCATTGACAATGTTTATGCGTTCAGATTGAGCTGTGCCTAAGGGCGAAGTACCATTGCTGTGGGCCAGCTCATCAAAAATCAATGGGTTATCATGTGAGATATAATAACTGGCAAGGTCCTACACGCGGCGAATTAGAAATGGACTAGAATGGAAGGGATTTGGAAGACTCACAACTGTTCCGCCACCGCAGTCGCAGATAATCACTCCATCTCCGGTCTTCGGGCCAAATTTTGATCAAGCTCAGCATTAGAGCGATATGGGTTTAGTTGATAAGATGATGGTACATACCGTGAATGAGGATACTGCTGCCAGAGCAAATGTCATAGCGGCCTGCGGCTCGGTGAGCAAATGAACTTGATCTCCATGTCTCGTGCCAAAGCTGGCGTTGCTGATTGCCTCTCGCATCAGCGCTCTGGTCGTGTCAGACCAGGAAGCAGGGACTGTGAACCAAAACTGGATAGTTGTGGTATCCAACTTTCCACCTGATGCATTCACTAATACCCCTAACCTTTGCCATAAAACGCGATGAAGACAGGTCAGAAAGTCAGCAATGACTTGAAGCGCAGTCATTCCCTCAGGAATATGAAGAATTCCCCTAGAATTCGCCCACCCTTGGGCTTCATGGATCAAATTCTTAGTATCTAGTTCTCCGTCCAGCAGGAGCTTGAACCAGGAGATGGATTCCATGTGCTGTGCTAGAATTGGGCCCCCCCAAGGAGGTATGGGCAGACTTGAGCTCTCCCTGCTGTACGTCAGAACGCTCGGAGCTTTGACTAGATCATTTCTGGTAAATGAGCCTTCCCAGCTCTGGAAAGTCTCAACATCATTGAAGACGTTTCCTGCTCTGCCATATGGAGGTATGAAGAGAGCAATGCCTGAGTGTTCTGAGTCAACGATTTCAATACAAGAAAAATACGCATCGAGCTTGAGAGATTGTGGAAGAATGACGCACCTGAGGCAGTAGTACCGAAGTCAATTCCAACGATGATATCCCGGTCACAAGTCATGGCCGTAGGAAATGAACGTGTGATTTACAACTCGGGAGGGGACGACAACTTGCGAGCGGAACTAGTCAATATAGAAATAGCTTTCGATTCGCACAGGAAAACTAGGGTGATTATAACCTGGAAAGTATCGGACCTGCTATTTAAGATACCGCGGATTGCAGAGAGACTAACTCCAGTGAGATCTTCCGACAGGTATGGTTTCAAAGCGGAGAAACCTACATATGCAGGTTTCTGGAGGCGACATCCATAAGAAACCAGATAAGAAAGATTATACCTAATTTCTTGTAGAATTTCCAGGACGCCAAAATTTTGGAGCTTTGACTGAAACAGGCGGTATACACAGGCACCTTCCTGACGAGACATGTCTTGCCTGGAACGGCTCGTAGGTATAAAACGCTAAACACTTTTATTTGAAGTACGCATAGAATAGTGGTTCTTGTTTTTGTCAATCATCTTAACGACTTTCCATATCAGATCTGAACATGAAATGGGACTATCGTATCCAAAATTGTCGTTTAAAATGCTAAAATTCCGATAAAGGCCGATGGCTTTTGCTTATTTCGGGCGATAGCAATACTAGGTTATGAAAGCCATATATTGTGCTAGCCACTCTAAAGCGATATGGTAAAGCTTACTTGGGAGGTGCTTCTTTCTGCCCGACCTTCATTTACTTCAGAGTAGTTGGTTTTGTTTTCGAGGGGCATCTTCTAATAAGTATCCTTTCCATATATCCGATCCCGCTAGAGAAGCTCGTACCCGGTCGGTTACGGGCGACTAAGTATCCCACAATTGACATAACTCTCTCATTGGCTTATATTGCCAGGTAGTTACTGTTACAAATACTATATTCAAAGTAGAGAATGCAGACTTTTTACCTCTACAATTGTATCAACTTGCCTACCATATGTATACTTTCTAAATGCACTTAATTGCATTTATAAGAGTATTCAAGTGATACTTTATAAGTGGATAGTTACTCTATAGTAACTCCTTGTTTAAGTATAAAAGTCAACTAAAGTAGTATGATCAAATGTTATATATAGAAAAATCTCTTGCACAAAGTATGCTCTTTTTGCCGCCTTCGCAATCGTGGCATACTTTCAAGGTTATGCAGTCGCCCGTAGTCGGTGTACGACAACGTGGAGGAGCCATCGTCTATCAATACCAGAATTATTCGCAGGGTGCTCAAAATAGCGAAAGGTGGACAGCCAAACTGCTTGGACTTTCTTTGACAAAAGTTCGGGTGACTAGCAGGAATAGCCTTTCTTTGTCGGAAATCGGGGCGGCTCGTAAGAGTGCTCAAACATCTCAGACACAGCCAGCTCGTCTATCGCTGGGTAGTGGGTTTTGCGGTCTTGTGAGGCCGTTGTCTCGGGTTTCAAGTTTCTTTGACATTTTGAGTCTTGGCGAACGACCTAGACTGCGCAGCAAGGTGCCAATGAAAGTGGCCACAAAGAAAGCCCACTGGAGATTTTGCTTTGATGGAAAATCAAACCGTCCTGTCGTAGCGTCCCTCAAATTCAAGCTCGTCCCAAATACATAAACGATCGGGTGCCCCTCCCTAGTCCCGCTGTGAAAACTCGTTCCTTCATTAATTTACCTTGTTTCGTGTACGGTGAACTAGCTCCCTCCACACAGCAAAATGGCAGGGAAAAAGGCAGCCGGCAGTGTCAAGGCACAAAGCTTAGTGCAGCAGGATGATGATGGGGTAAGGATGCAAAATATCAATTTACTGCCTAGACGCAGTATAGCCTCGAAGTATACATATTGACCGTACCAAAAGCAACAGGGTGACACCATTACCGACCCAGCCACTCTAGCTCAGCCTACAGCTATTGCAGATCGGCCGCCTAAAACAGACAGCGAGGCTGGTCCTTCAAAGGTACTTTTCGATGCCATCCCATGATTATTCTTTTGGCCTATTGATCATTTCTTTAGTCGCATGTCGAATCTTACTGACTGGAATATTCTGTTTAGAGACGATGCCGCCCTCAAGTAAACGATCCAGGCTCTGCTACAAAGCGCGGGGAAGCCACACAATGGGAATTAGACATTGAAGAACGAGTGAGAAAAGCAGTGAAGGAAAATAATGAACAGCCTATGCCACACCCACAAGCAACGCCAACTAGATCGCCCCCACCGGACCACTATAGCCCAGGTAGTAAGTGGTTAGGTATCGATCCACAGGCACTTAGCTGGGAGGCTACTTGTCTGGATCGAGACATGTTCCAATGGACCTATAACTATATAGATAATGACCCAGATGAGACCGAGGCAAAAATGACTGCAAAAGACAAACAAGCCATCATCGATTACCTGGGTGACTGGTGTCTATATAACGACTGGGACTCACTGGTAGCCTCATTTTCACCACTTGCTTATTTGGATCGCTTTCACCTACTCCTCACAGCAACAGTCTTGAAGAATGTTTTTGAAAGTGTTGTCCGAAACCCTTTCTTTTACATTGACCTTGGGGAAAGCTGGGATGGTAGTGGAAGCGATCTACCACCTCCGTACGGTATAGAGCTCAATAAGCTCTTTCAAAAGGGTCTCAAAGGTATATCTTGTGGCCTACGCTACCTATTGTATAATGAGGACCCCATCTTACTCAAATGTTCACATCTTAGTATCTGCGGCTGGTGCCCACCATTGGCGTGCATCGACAATCAGACTCTTGAACAGATACAAGCCGTATACCGACTATGATACTCCTTTGAATGCAAAAGATATCACACCAGGGACCCGAGCCTACAACCTTCGGGAGAGATGCATTGATCAATTCACCTCCAACATTCTTGATGATTCCAGCCTGATTTCACCCATTTTGTCTCCAAGAAAGTTGAGTCAGGATCAGACCAGAAGCCGCTATCGGGGAATACGAAAGTGCTACAAGAACGCGTCTGAGATGGCGGTTCGCTTTTCTCTTCAAAAAGCTGGCTTCCAATTCGATGAGAATGCCAACCAGGTAGCCCCCTACCAAATGCCCATCCGCAACCCATACAGTATAAACAGATGGGACGCATCCACTTTCAATGCCCCCGGTGTATACAATGAGTTTCTCGAAGGGAGAAGGGTTGTGATGATTCTGTGGCCTGCAACTTGGATGATAGATTGGAAGGTATCCCTCGAAGTAAAAAAGTCGTGGGAAGAAATCGACGCAAAATACCCTCCAGACTACGACCGGCGCTACCGAGATGAAAATGGGGTCCATCATGCTGTCATATCATCGGGGGTTGTCATAGTTGAGAAAGATGGAAGGGAACCTCCGCTTGAAGAGTGATGCTTCAAGTGATCAGTTTGTCCTTCAATGTTGTCTAGCTACCTTTGTTCGACTTTTATTATTGTTTCCGGCTTCTCCCATTTTCTGCTGCTCAATTGCCTTACGCAAATCATGAACTGTCCGTAAATGACTGTTTCTGTCCGTCCTTTTTTTATTGTTAGAGATTCTCTGTTCGCCGTGGTTCTGTATGTCTTTGATCTATCGAAAGATGGATGTCTCGGCGACAATATTGAGTATTCTAAGTGTAGATATTTGGTAAGACCTATCTAGTAAATGAGATCATAAAGGCACAATGCAGTGTATTGCGTAGTTGCATGAAGTTAAACATAGGAGGAAAGGGAAAGTAGTCTACTACTATAGAGGCCAGGTTATATGACCAATGGGAGACCCCAACAATATTGCTATTCAGAGAGGAGAGTGTGAGGAGTATCGTGAACCTCATCCAGCATAGCTGTAGCGGCAGCCAACTCTAGCAGAAGAGCGCAAACCTTTTCTCTGATGATGTGATATGCTATACCATACATTTTTACGTAGCCAGACTCCTATCAATATACAATGTCATAGGAAAGATTGCTTCGATGTTTATATCCAGTTGAGTGTATTGACTATCCCTTGTCCGCCAAAGGTCTCCAGGCTGCTACTCATACCTGTACCAATAGTTACGCAGTAATTTAGCAGCCACCTCCAGAGCTGCCTCCTGAATCTCCGCTGCTGCTACTTCCACCGCCTGAATCGCCGCTGCTACCACCTGAATAACCTCCACCGCCTGAATAACAGCTGCTGTCACCACCACCACCAGAATGATGGCCTCCACCCCCGCCACTGGAATGGTGATGAGTGCTATTCCCAGCTCCGGAATCGTAATTGCTACTGCCAGCATCGGCATAGTTGCCACCACCCCAGGTAGTGGACGGGGTAGATATGGAGGAAGGGGTATCGTACGGAACGTAGGTGGGTTTGGACGCAGCGACAGCCGCTTGCTGGCGCTTTCGGTCTTCCTGTTGTTGCTTCACAACTCGTTTCTCTTCTTCCTTTCTTCTCCTAGCTTCTTTCGACCGAAACAGATTGAGAAACATCTTTCAATTTTGGGACCTGAGCGAATTGAATGGACTAACAATCTGTCAGGGGGATTCCACAATATTCTTAGAGGTCAAGATTTACCGTGAGATATAGTGAAAATAGTTCTGGCAAGTATAGCACTTGGGAATGTTTATTGGAGATGTTTCTGTGCTAGAGTGTGATAATGAACACTACAAAAAAGGATATTTGAGATAGGGACTTAAATATATCTTACAACCAGGAACTGAGGCAGGATGCGAATTGTATAGCCCGATTAGAACAACCTCGGGCAACCGGGGAACACAGCCTCCGATGTATTCTCAGCCTCCACCCCCGGGCACTTTATCGCTTATGCAGCAATATAATTGGTTCTCCTTCGATTAGATACTCCATTTTTCGGAATTATGCCGATCTTGTGTTAATTTATCATAGCGTCTGACTCTGCCTTGCATTATCGCATTGTTTATGACCACTTATGCATCAAAGTCACATAGCCCGCCCCGAGCTATGACGTTCAAGAGCCTCAATCTAGGAAGTTCTTCGATGTATTTCAAAGCAAGGTCTAACGTTCATCTGTAACGGCAATATTTCCTAGGATTAACTGGTTTGATAACCGACCGGGCGAAACACTATCTCGTAACCTGAGAAGTATGCATAGGAATGGGGTGGATGTAGACAAGCGTTTTAAAAGAAGAAAATGCTTGTAAGTGGGAAGGTGTGAAGACGAGGTGAGGAATCAGACGACTTGGAGAGGCATTCTTGAATTTGTCGGCCATACTAAACCGACATTTGCAGGAATCCGTGACAGAGATTGATGACCACATTGAATAAAGCCAACCGAGGCATATAGGCTCCAACGTCGATTATGTCGTTCAGATGCCAGGACGCTAGCGAAAAGGCCGGATCCGGCCGCTCCAGTTGTTGATGGCATCCGCTGTAGTTTAACAATATCCCCATTTTGGTCATGATCAGCAAATTGGATGGAAGATGGGGATTCAGGGATTGAGATAGGGCAATCCATTTCCTGGAAGGCAGCGACAAGTGTCCTTAACGCAATGAACTAGTTCACGGACCCCGACGAGCTCCGACTTCCCTCCAATTGCGCAGGGCCATAGGGTCGTAAAACAGCCCACCATCCCCGAGGAGACGATACCATGCTAGCCAACCAGCTGCTCTACCATTGCCCTCAGTGAAGATTGTTGACACCTTGGTCAGTGAACATCTTGCTCCAATAATGTAGCAAAGCTATCTGTAAGATATTCTGTGGCTGGGAGTCCCACGTCAAGTTTGCTTAGCCATGTAAGTGAGCTGTAGTGGCCTCGTCCATCATGAATTTCTGAACTCACCATCTCCAAATGTGTTCTGTCCATGTAGGGCTTCCTAATACGTGTAGTCAGTAGGACAAACTTCAAACGGTAGCACCTCGGCTGGTGCCTTATACATTTTGATAAGCGATCAAGAGCGTGTGGATGTCTTCTCCAAGAATGTGAATAAGATAGGAGAATTTAGAGCCAATTTTCAGGTTCAAGCTCGCCCGGGACTGTTCCGCCATATCAGAAATTTCTTCCGTCTTAATGCTGGGATAAAAATCCGATAGACCCTTCGACATCGCAGTCACAGTTTATTAGTAATCCACCGTTCTCTCCGACAATAAGCCATGCACCATTTGATGCCACTCCTTAATCGACTCTCTTCTCGACTCGCACCAAAAAGGGTTGGTTGAATAGTCTTTTTAGTAGGAACGACAGAAGAGAAGAGCATGGATTGGATGGGAGTTAATCTGAATAGAACTATATCGTCGATGGCATCTGAGCTGCCCGTGCTAATATCTTCTAGGTGGGACTGAAAGTTCTCACCAAAGATCGGGATTATATTATGAAGAAGAAAATCCATGGTAGTCGAGGTTGGATCCACCCTCCGTGCGGGATTTAACAGCTGCATGGCAGAGATTGAGTCACCATCTGCAGTGAAAAGGTTGTTATTAGAGTCTATGGCATTCTGTAGAAAAGCAAGCACCGGCGGAAATATCTGCTGCAGCCGACTCTCGCGCTCAGTCAAGGGCCAACGTTTAGTGCTGCTCATCGTCGAGTTAGCAGCGGTGGCCGCCGCCACGGAGTTTGTCCCTTCGCTGTTATTAATGCACTCGATCGCCACGTTCAATTTGTCTCCCTCATAGAATAGTACATTAACAGCAATCAACACAGTGCTTCGAGGCACCTTCCTCATTTTGATCTTTCCCTTTCTTGTCGACAAAGGGCAGCAATGCGACTACTAGCAGTCACCGAGTAAGTTACTGTTCTAATCGAAATAGGCACATTCAATTTGGTCTATCATACTTTCATTAATACGAATTTGGGTTACTTGACATTTGCATACAGTGCAGTAAGTTGCGAGGCTTAACCACCCGGGAAAGGTCTTTAGTACTAACCAGGAAATACCTGGAGCGTCGCAGTTTTGGCTGTTTTTATCTCATTATTTTGTAAACTGCGTGTTCAGAGCACCATCGATACAGGCAGAACCTGTGACAATGAGTAATAATTACGAGGAAACAATTAAGCTTGTCATTTTCAAAATGATGGCCACGCCTACCGCCAAGGTTTGTTTGACATATCTCTTCCAGTTAACCAATCATGTCACCCTGACAATTCCTACTCCAACATGTTAATAAATAAATAAATAACTAGATAAAAGTTATCTCGGTAAGAATCACCCTGCTTGTTTTTATCCTCCTAATCTCAGTTAGAACTGATAACTAACAGAACCATACTACTTTTGCGTTCTTCTTTGTATTGTTAGGAACAGAGGTGACAAGCGGAGGACCAAGTGGAAAACCGACCTAATTTCATTCTCTACAGGGAGGTCCACGCGTTATACCCTCAATACATTATATGACTAGACTGACCAGGGGGAAAGAGAGGAAAGGAAAAGAGGTGGAGCTAAATCACAAACAGGGTCCCACGATTACGCATCCTAACAAAATTCCAGTCGCCACAAGACAAAAGCTCTCCATAATGGCTATGTTAAGGCTTGACATTAGGTGGGAGTGAGACATGTGGAGATATAATTTTACAAGCCTGATGTCTTGGTGGTGTCTGCAGGACTTTGCAGCTGTTCTGACGGCGAGATGGTTCAATCAGGACTTTGGGACCCCAACCAAAGGATATGTATGATCCATGTAAAAAAATAGACTAGTTCAATAGCTAGGCTTGATTTGGATAATGTGTGCATATTTAGCTCAGCCGTAGTGCTGACATGTGCTGACAGGCAGCTTATAGTGTATTTGTAAAGACACCAAATAACGCCAAATAACGCCAAATAACACTGAAACGATCCTGCAGGCTTAGCGGTTTTTTCTTTCTATGGACCGCCGAGCCGACGGCTTGGACCGAGAGTCCCTAATCCAATTTCCAGTTAATTTCGAGTTCTCAACAGTGAATCTGCTGGGCCCTGAAAACGCTTTGGTTTTCGAGCTACTTGGGGGGATTTTGTGGTGATTCATCGTGCAAACTTGATCTTTGCAATACAACATAAATGCATCTGATTGCGCTAGCCTGCAATTCGGCGTGTCATCTAACCGTTCAACAATCTTCAATCTAGAAGGTTCGCCCCACAATCCGCAATCTTGATAAGCTATGCTTTCAATTCTAAAATAAATTAACAGAACTAAGCAGTTTTCGAATGGTGTAAAGTGAGACCAGCTTGAATATACCGACCATACCCAGACCCTTAGTGGTAGAACCCTAGTATCCACGCGTAGTCTCCCGGGGTCTCTGTTTTAGGGTACTCCTTCCCATTCATATTGACTCAATAAGTGAATCTTAACTAAGGCTGTAGTTGCGAGCCTAAATTAAAAAGCTATTGTTCGAAATTAAAAAAAAAAAAGTTGTTGTACTGGATTAAACCGCGTTTTGATTTCAAACGAATCCCAAACTTTGCAAGCAATGCCTGAACTTGATCTGTACCATCACACCGGATTAAAACCACTGCACGCTAACCTGTATGATCGGGACAAAGGGGGCGAAAAATGAAGTCTCTAATGCTCTGTCACGATCTCATAATATCACAAATGTGCAATGTGACCATTCCCTCGGGTTCCCCGTATAGTAGTCTAACCGTTTCTGTACGCCAAGATATTCATGGATACCTTAAGCACTGACAGCAGACAAAGTCCATCACGGATAGCACGGGAAAAGAGGCAATAAAAAACGACGTAAGCAGAACGGGATCTTCGCGAGCACTTTGTCATAATTATGAGACCCACGAGAGGAATCACGACCTTCAGCCCATCCAAGAGCGCCACCCTCGACCTCGAGGTATAAAAGGAAGCTCATCCCCAGCTCTAGGAGATCATCCAGAACACCTCAGACAAGCACAGTTCCTCTTCTTCTCCATCTACCAAAAGCCCATAGTCAATATGTACTTCTCCGCCGGAATCAAAGCAGCCCTGCTTCTCGCAGCTTCCATTCCTGCGCAAGCATGGAACAGACTGGACAAGGACAACGCTGTGAGTTTACCTCCCCCAGAACAACAAATGCTATTCCTATCCAGAGAAGAAGAAGTTCCCAATCTAACAAGAACAACCCCAGGCCCTCCTGGTCGTCGACCACCAAGTCGGTCTTGCCCAACTCGTGCGTGATTACAACACAAACGACTTCCGCAACAACATCCTCGGTCACGCTGCCCTCGGTAACGTCTTCAACCTGCCAACTGTCCTGACCAGCTCCTCGGACGCAGGTCCCAACGGTCTCCTGCTCAAGGAGATCATTGACATGCACCCCAACGCGACCTTCGTCCGTCGTCAGGGTGAGGTCAATGCTTGGGATAATGCGGACTTCCGCGCTGCGGTTAAGGCTACTGGCAAGAAGCAGTTGATTATGGCTGGTATTGTCACCGAAGTTTGTAAGTGGAGATGCTTATTCCTGGGAGGAGAACGAAAAAAGAAAGCAACATGAAACACAAATACTGATATTTAAAACAGGCACCTCCTTCCTCGCTTTGTCTCTTATTGATGCCGGCTACGAAGTCTTCGCCAACACCGAAGCGAGTGGCACTTTCGATGTTAAACTTGCCGAGGATGCGAATCGTCGTATGGAGAAGGCTGGTGTTACGCTCATGGGTCTGTTTGGTATTGTCTGTGATCTTATGCGTGATTGGAGGGGAACTCCTGGTCTCACTGAGGTTCTGCCTTTCCTTGATAAGTAAGTTGATATGTGCTCTTGATCCTACTACAGTGTCGAGATTGCTAACTTTTGTTTGTCTCTAGGTACCAGTTTGCTTACGGTCTTGCTGCCCGCCACCACGCTGGATCTATTCAGAATGGTACCTTTTACCCTGTTGAAGGGACTTTGATTTAAGTCTGTTCAATGGGGATGATTGGTGAGATTTCAGGGGGTTCGGATTTGGATAAGTGAAGAGGTGAAGAGGTGAAGAGGCGGAGGAAGAAAACGGGAGAAGTGAAGAAAAAAAAAGACAAAAATTCGAAAAATAAATGGCTTGGTGATTGGGTATATAGCTTTCTTGTCAAGATAGTGTTGAATCCAATTATCAAGACAAACATCCAGTCATTGGAAAGTAGACTTAGTTAACTCAAGCTTGGTCAATATGTTGAGGCCCAGTCAAAGGTTATAACATAGAAATGTCGGCCTGCGTATTCTAAACGGGGTTCACCTATATTGTAGCTACAATACGCATAGGTAGGAAAATACCCAGAGAAAAAGATGTCTACAAAGACATCTAAAATGACTTTGAAAATGACTGCCAAGAAAGACGTAGGTCGCATAAGCGGTGGACTATTTTTGTTTCATGCGGTTTAGTAAAGACACAGAAACAAATGCAAGATGAAACATTCGGAATAAGATATGTTTGTAAATATATACAGAATAAAATAACAAGGCTATAAACAAGTACTTGGGCATGGGTATCGGCAATGCAATATTTGCAAGGAAGATATAAAAACTTGGAGCTCTAGACCCGGTCTAGAACTATACACATACACCCCGGATGGAGCTATGCAGTGATATCCATGGATGCGATGGTTGGTGACGTAGGCGAAGGCGTTGGAGGCATTGAAGGCATAAAACGGAGAGAAAATAAACATCGCATATGAAATCCGGCGTGTGCTTGATGCAATGAAACAAGAGACAAGCAAAAGGGGAAAAAAGAAAAAAAAGAATATACACACCGCTTCAAATAATGCTAGCAATCGTCATGCGTGAATGTGCCGAACTCGACCGTCTGTCTGTATCAGAAGCCGATTCCGGCGCAAGAGTAGAAGAAGATGTCTCCAGTTTCGGCTGTTCCATCGGGGCATCCCGTCCATAAGTCATCTGCTGCTGTTGTTGTTGATGCTGCTCGGTAAAGAGATCTTGCACGGTCTTCTCAATCCACTCCCACCCCTCCCACTCAACATCCATTTCCATCTCCGTCCGATGGTGAGGGGATGTCGGCCCCGAGACACTCCTCCCCATTCCTTCCAATTGAGATCCCGTCTCGGAACCGTGCCATACCCAGCTACCGTCGGTGGTCCCTTGCATATCGCCCGAAACATACGCCATCATTTCTTCGTCGCGGTCGAGATCGGGGATGTGGCCCTCGGACGGGCGGATACGGACGAGGAGACGTCGTAGGAAGAAGGCGAGGTATCGCCCGCAGGCTGCATTGACGGTGCGCACATCACCGATTGATGAGAGTGCTTGTACGCAGGCTAGAGCGCCGGCATACTCGCCGCGGAAGAGGAGGAGGAGTGTACAGCGCCAGATGTGTGTGCAGAGGAGGGAGCCCGCGCTAGAGGCGAAGTGGGAGCGGGGATCGTTGGTGCATTGGGGTCCTGGGTTTGTTGGGTAGTTGCGCATGCAGCGGGCGAGAATATTGGCGGTGTCAAGGGCTGTGGAGACGCAGTAGTCCATCGCTGAAGCGCGGACGATATCGGGACAGAAGGGGGAGATGTTGTGGCGGTGGAGGAGCAGGCGGGCGTTTTGAAGGTAGATTACCGGGGCGAGGGAGCGGGGGTCGAGATCTTGGTCGGTTTTCGGGTGGAACTGGGAGGGGAATGTTGCGAGGCAGGTGTTGAAGTGGAGTTCGAAGGTCTCCAGGGTGGCGGGGCTGATGGTTGCTGCGCGCAGGGTGCGTGTGAGTTGGCCGATGGACCGGACGACGTGGATCGTAGCTAGCAAGGGCGTAGTTTGCTGACTGTCTGGAATGTTGCCTCCTTCTGTGATGTAATGCTCGTCCACGGGACATGGGAGATCGATATCGCAATCTTGGTCGTTGATTAACACCGGCTTCCCCATTTCAAGCGCGAGTAATCTATCCCAGGCGTATAACCCCCACCAAACACGCTTCCGCATTTCCCCTTCGACTGCAGGCCACGGTCCAGAGTCGATGTGCAGCCCAATCTCTTGAGCCACACGTACTGCCGAGCCAATCCACACCCAACTAGCCGACTTTGAATTGACCTCGTAGAGAAAAATACTTGCTAGCAGCGCCGCACGAGCCCGATCCAAGTTGAAGTTGTCGTGCCAAACATCAATAATCCCACAGGATGTGCGAACGTATTTCTTGCTTTCTTCTTCCCGATTCGGCTCGTTCGTGTGGATCGCACCGCAGGCAAATACACCAAACAGCACAGCCGCCCATTCAGTCGAGACACCTAACAACGACCCCGACCGATAAACCTTTTCATACTCTGTAATGAATATGGGCCAATGAAGTATCGGAAGCACCGAGTGAATGCAACCGAAATACTGGGCCAGTAGATGATCTGCTAGATCCTTCGGCGGCAGCTCCGGCGAATTTCTAGTCACCAATGACTCTGCACCCTGTTGGCGGTACGGAGTGGGCACCTTCAAGATGCCACGACCGTAATGGCGGAGATTAGACCGCACATCGGAGAAATCCTGTGGGATAGGGGCCTTCGAACGGCGCACAGGTCGATATTCGATCTCAGGCAACTTGATCATTGGCTGCGAGACGCCTTCATCATCATCGGCCATGCGATCCGGCCGCATCATGCCCGTCTGCAAATGTTGTAATTGCTGTTTTGTACTCTGCAACTGCTTCTCCAAATCCTGGACTTGTTTGATAGACGACATGCGGCGGTTCGTCTCTTTGGTAAACTGACAGCGAACCCTGCGATTGTTACATTCGGTGCAACTGGACGACTCCGATGCGTCGCATTTGACCTTGCGTTCGCGACAAGCATCGCAGCTAGGGTCCTTTCTACGCTGGCGATACGCGCGCTTCTGCTGTAATTGCGCGGCGGTCTGTTGCCCATGCCCGGGATTGGGTTGGTAGAGACCTGGGACTGAGCTCATTGGTGGGGCATCGGGAAGCGCCGTCTCACCCGGTGACCCAGAGGCGGAGTCATAAAAGCGCTGGTACGGTGATGTCGCAGGTACAGCCGAGGGCATAGGCTGCAGTAAATGAGACATTCGCATCCCGCTGTCAGGTCTGCTCGGCGGAGCGGAAAGCAGCGCGGGAGCCGGGAATGCGCCCGACGTCACCGACTGCACGGGTGGCAGTTCGTAGCCTTGATTACCACGAAAAGGGGAGGGCTGCATGTTGGATGTATTCCAGTAAATAGAACAAATATGAGGGAAACAAATTCAAGGCAGAGTCGGGGTAAGAATCTTAGAGGTGACTTTAGATAAGGGCTATCGCCACAGTCCCAAGGCGCATTCAAGATTTCGATTTCCCTTGTGTTATTCGAATAGAGACTGCGAAGCCATTGTTGAGATGTAGAAAGGTGAAATAGGAATAAAATAGAACACAAAAAAAGAAATAAGCCTAAAAGGTCGGGGTGATCGTGTACGCAAATGCCGAGGTTGGGAAAGATGAAGATCAAAGAATCCGGGTGAAGAAAGGGGAGATTGGGGAATGTAAAATCAACCTTTAAGGGAAAAAGAGGGTGAAAAGAGGAAAAGGGAAAAGAAAAAAAAAAAAAAAAGAGTAAAAAAAAAAGCGAACTATAGATCGACGAAGAGTATTACGATCTACCTAACTCTAGCAGTGTCCCGTAGAAATTCTCCAACATCTGCGATTTAAGGAATCTTCAACGGATCGGACCCGAGATACTACGTTTCCCTCTACGGACAATAGTGCATATGTACATTTATTTAAACCGATATTACAATGAAATTGAGCCCGAGATCGGCAGTAGTGTTGGATACTTGGATATAAAGAAGTAGTCCCACTTGGCTAATCTGTTAATAGGAAGTAATTATCCAGAAGAAAACAGGGAAGGAAAAGAGGATACGTGGTCCACGAAGATCTCGCCCCTCTGCACAAGCCCTGATGATCGACTTCGGAAGTGCACCGGGACCACATGGAATCGGATGCGTTGGCCCGGATTTCGTGACCTTTTTTTTTTCCTTTGGCGTTTTGACTTTTTTCTTTTTGCACTCTTTCCCGAGGTCCCGAGCTTTAACCTATTCCCATGGATGCTTTATATCTATATCCTTTGCTACATATGTATATGCAACATATACAGAGGACGGAGTACTTCGTACTCCGTACTCCTATCCGTACTCCTATTCGTACTCCTATCCAACTTACCTTGCCAAGCCATCTCTTTGATTACAATACAAGCTCCGGGGTTCCATCCCATCTAGGTTTGGTGCCGAGCACTGACGGAGAATGTCTCCAATGAAATACCACTGGTGCTTTATTCCATGCTTAAATTTTACTGGATATGGAGTACGGAGTATAGTGGACTGTAAATGCTGTGCAGGGAAATAAAACAAAAAAAGAAAGGAAAAAACACCAAAAAAGGAAGGATCTTGGGGCACAGACAGCCTCAGCCGCTTAGTTTTTTTTGTTAACCTTTGCCAGCTCCCGGGAGTATTTTCGGAACTTCTCCGGTCGGATCATCAAGCGAGAAATAAAAACATAAAAAAGATAAACCCCCCTGTCAAGTTTCCGGCGACATTTAGACCTTGTAGAATCAATCCAGATGTCCTCCGCCCCCAATGTCGCCATCGAGCCTCCTTTTCCCCGCTCGGTTAGAGATTAGGAGTTAGGAACTCGCTCTGAAACCCAAACACATCCCTCGTGACTGTAATTTCTTTTGCCGATGAACTTAAATTGAATGTTGTCAAATTAAAACCAAGGCACCTCGGAACCTATCATTCCCAACTCGGCAAAGACCGACATGTTCCAATCCTTGGATACAGGAGGTCCGTGTGCCTGCAGCTAAACGCTTAACCCTAACGGAAAGACAGTTTACTCGGTTCGTGCCGGAACTATTCTCCATCTAGTATGCAGGGGTTCAGCAGTGGCACGTGTAAAGCATGGACCTGTCATATATACCCAATGAATGCATGCAGAAATACGGGAGTTGGTTGATGCCTAGTTTCAAGCTAGCAGGTGTCTGAACTTGCGGTGTACCGGACTTCCTCCACTGCCATATGCAGCCTCTTGATTTGGTATCCTCTCATTTGGGAGGGCTCCAATTGGAACACTTCCATGTGGCGACTATCAATTGCCGCCCTCATTTCTAATTTTATATTGTATATACATATCGCGGTAATTGACTTCTGAGCTCACAAATGTGTTGATATCGGTAGTCCATATACGGGAACAGACGCGCAGCTTGGCCGAGTCGGAGAAAGGGTAATATACCTAGGCGCCCTAAGCGTGATCTTCTCTTCCCCCCACTTTCAACTAATGCAGTCATGGATCTCTGTCAGGAATAAACCAGGTTAGGCCCACCTCAATTCGGTAACGGCATACATACAATATGGACAATATAATTCAATCTACGGAGTACATCGGTAAAACACATAGTGTGATAACAATTCAATTGTTCTGCTCATGGGTCAACGCCCCACAGCGGGACAACGATCGGGATGAAACACCCGTTAACCGAGTCATTCCGATTTGCTCTGCGTGACAACTGTCACCAGTTGTCAACCTGAGACTCCCGATGTCTTCCGTGTGCTAGTCCCCGGCCCGGCTGTGTCTCAGATCAAACGGGGGGGGGGGTTTACATTAAAGATCTGAGACGTTTCGGGTTGTTTACCGAGTAGATGGTGGAATTTTTTTTCCTAGGAAAGGATTTGATTTTTTTTAAGGTTCTTCGTTCATTGTGGGTTTAGTCATGGACATGTTAGGAGTCAAATATGAGGCTATGCAAGTGTTCATATGCTAGTGCGGAGTTTAAAGGATCTATGTCCACAACAGGATGCAACCCCGATATCTGTGATAAGCACAACATAGATACATAGTATCCTGGAAGCAAGGGGCACGTAAGGTCTCACATGCGTCAATTAAAGCTTGGCTATATTATGTCTTAGATTCGACGAATCAATCTGATTTCTTTGATTGCTTATGCTTGTCGGAACATACCATCCAAATCCGGAAAGTGGTATATCCCCGAACAATGACATCAACACGTTGGCCGTGACACTTGTCGCTCGCAATATTGTATGAACTCCGATCGGCCCCCGAGGATACGCTGGCATCGTACATACCCCGGTGCCTTCCTCAGTGAATCAAACCACGCTGCATGTGCTACGAGAACCACTCCCACGATTAGCCCATAAAAAGCTTTTCTGCACGCTTATCTTCGGATGAGGATTCGGCTTTGCCGAGCCGAACTGACGCAATATCGGGACCTAATAGTGGGTTCTCGGAGTCTGTAGCAAGGTCATTGATAATACCCTCGCATAGGCCTCGCTCACATACTTACAATTACCGGCAAGAAATCAAAGCACGCCCACCAAAGGTAGAATAAAAAATTGTGTATCCAGGGTATTCATCCATGCCTTCTACAACGCGGACACGGCGGCTCAAGAACTAGCCCTTTGCTCCAACGGGTGTAGCGACATAGCATGAGCTACTGGTTAGCTGCCTAAATAGCGTGTCGTACATGGCGAGGTTGTTTGCTCCGACGATCGTACCCTAGCTGTCCCTGGTGCATGACTCGCTCCAGTTTGTGGCGTCGAGGAGCGCCGGAGTCCGCGTAGCAGGCGTTGTAGGCGCTGAATTGCAGTCAGTGTTCGCTGTAAAAGGTTGCTTTGTCTCGGCTTTGTGAACTTGGTTTTGTCCTTGAGTTTCCGTGCTGACGAGTAGACGACCAATTCCAGAGGGTTCTATGGTACCTTTCTGCAGGGGGCTATTGCTAAGGCTAATTTTGGTGTCTTGGTTGGTTGGGATTGAGATCAGTAGAAAGTTGGGCTGTGTTCAAGTTGGTTGGGGAGGCTGTTCTCGCATTACCGGTCAGTGTGAAAAGGTCATGCTATGCTCATTCGGATACCACTAATCCTTCCAGGCAGCAGACAATCAGGGTATAGTAAGAAGAGTACCTGTGTAAGAAAGAAAAGGAGGAAAAATTCGATCAAAACCAGGCGAAAAACCAGGCGAAAGAGTAATGGTTCCAATTACGTATCTGATTTTAGACCAATGGATGATTGAAACAAAGCTGCATATTTCGTTCAACATACGTTTATTTAGCATTTTCAGCCATCTCCTGCTTGTGCTCTTCCCATTTCTCCATGATCACGTTGACGATCTTGGTCAGCCCTTCCATTTCCTCCGCAACTTCCAACCCCATCCCATGTGGGTCAATACTACAGCCAACGTAGACCGGGATAGAGAACCGTCGAGCCAGGATCTTGGCTATACGGTCTGTGTATTCAATGCTAGATGGTGATGTGTAGAGCGTTGTTGATATTGTCGACTTGGATGAAGTGCGCTATATAAATGTCAGCTATGTCTTGAAAACGCAAATAGTTGTATTGGGAAAAAAAGACAAGGAAATTCCAATTATTAGATGCGGGAAATCCTTTTAGCGCGACAGGTCTCCTGTCTGATTGGAGCTTGAAGATGGGTGGTGCGCGGCAGATTGCAGCATATTCCACTTGGAACTGAACATGGAAGAGCTATTCTGAAGCTATGCAAACAATCCCTTGTCCATGTAATATGGTATGAGAAAATGACGATGCCTTTCCTTGAAAAATGACAAAGAATTCCAAACTAGGTACTTACATCAGGCATCGCATAGACGAAGCTTCCCATTGGTTTGATAGAGCCGCCCGAATCACCTGGCGATGAGGTAGCTAGAAATATCATGGCACAATGGCCCAAAAAGTTCAAGTGAACATGTGCTGTTGTATGCAAAGCTTTGGGCAAGGTGAAGGAGATCTCTTGAGGCTTGACACTGGGGTCCGCCAAAGAAACGGCTGGTGGAGCTTCGGTCGCCATATTTGTTGTTGTATTCGTTCTCGGTGTAGAGGAAGAAGTATGTTGTTAAAAAGAAAATGTACGCGAGAATGGTATTCAGACAAGTTGTTGAAAGTCGGAACAGTTAATATCGAATCCCCGCCCTGGGGCCGTTACGGTGGGCCACAATGGCCACGCATGATTTAATTCCCATTGGCTCCAGAGCTATTATTGCTGGCAGAAAATCATCTGCAAGGGCTCTCTTTACCTCTTTGTAAATTCCTCCCCTAGAGATATAATGATAGCTCTTAGCAGTATTCTCTGTTGATAGCGTATATTAGTTATGTTTCCCATTCAAAACATATATCTACGTCTAGGTAGGTTACAGCTACATATCAATTCTATAGTGTTTATAATCCAAATAAGAAGGCGGAGAGTACTGCGGTAAAAGCGATTTACCCAATAGGAATCATTGTTTGCCTTCGGAAGGATTGCCCACTTGTTTCGTCTGCCCCTCCATATACTTTATCTGATCTCGCTCTTCTTGTTTTCTTTTTTTTTTTTAACATTGTTCCTTCGTCTTATCTGTCGCTGCCAATTCTGTCTTAGGGTGTGTGATGCTGTAGCCTTGAGAAGCATCGTTAGACGTGGAGCTAGTCTGACAACCTCCACATGGCATCTGAGCATCAAAAGCCCCAGACCGGGGAGGAGGAGAGCGGCTGGGGAGGGGACTTTGACCCTTTCGCTGATCCCGAAGAACGTAGGGTGCTATTTGCTGCTTTTGACTCATTCAGGTACGTGGGTAGACAATTTATTACAAGATATGTCTTTTTGGCTTCCAAGATTGTAGCTTCTGAATCGAATTGAAACAACCGATTGCCTACATACAACCGCAGAGATTTTGGCTAATCCGCCCACAGACAATACCGGCGAACTGCGCATATGAATACTACTCATCGTCGACGGCAAGCTTTCTATGCCCTACCCTCAGCACACTGGCAGATGCTGTCGGAGCCTCCATTCTCCATCCTGGATAACTTCGATAAGGTGGACGATGCCATTGACACCAACGCCGATATCGCGGATGCAATTCTAGCCCTTGGTCTCCAGTCATTTGGTCTTTCTGCAAACCCCGACAGCACCGATCCTACTCAAAACTGGCATGACATAGCAACTTCATCAGATGTCAACAAAGCGCACTCAACGATACGCCAGTTCTATCGTGACTGGAGTCTCGAAGGGCGACCTGAGAGAGAAGTCTGCTATGATCCCGTTCTCCAGGCCCTAGACGAGGAGTTCAAGACACAGCATGATAACGGAGAGGAAATCCGTGTTCTGGTCCCTGGTGCGGGCCTGGGCCGGTTGGTTTTCGATATCTGTATGGCAGGCTATGATGCCGAGGGCAATGAGATCTCCTACCACCAGCTGCTCGCCAGTAGCTGGATTCTGAACCACACCGACGGGCCGGCAAAACACGCCCTTCATCCTTTTGCATTGCATTTCTCCAATCTCCAATCCCGAGCACAGCAACTTCAGCAAGTTATGATCCCCGATGTGCACCCCGGGTTCGCCATGCAGGAGGCTGCCAGTGCTGGTCGCCGCTTGGGTGCGATGTCCATGTCCGCAGCAGATTTCACTGTATTATACACCCAACCGAGCAATTACGAGACGTTTGACGCGGTCACAACCGTTTTCTTCATTGATACGGCTCCAAACCTTATTCGATACATCGAGACGATCCGACACAGCCTCAAACCAAATGGGCTCTGGATCAACGTGGGCCCATTACTATGGCATTTCGATGACGGCCACTCCCGTAGAGGAAGTGGCTCTGAATACGAGGGGGCTGGGATTGGCGAGCCGGGCAATGTGGAGTTATCCGAGGATGAAGTGCTGAGCCTTGTGGAGCGTATGGGCTTCCGCCTAGAAAAGCGTGGAGATCGGAAGGCTTGCGGCTACATTCAAGATCCCAACAGCATGCTTCAGAATCTTTATCAGCCATCTCACTGGGTGATGCGAAAGGTGGTAGATTAAATTGGGGGCTGGTCGGAAAGCGGACAAGCCCCTGTAATTTGGAGACATAAGCTGCTATTTTTTTCACCGTTGGGGGCCAAAACTCAGGACAAAGAAGCTGCCTAATGGTCCCGAGAATTATTATTGTTGGATTAGTAAAAATGGAGACTTGAAAATATCTTCGTTGATGAGTATTTACTTTCTTTATATATACTCCTTACTACTAAGTAGCACCCCCCGTGGGGAGCTGGGCGCCAAGGGAAACGGTGAGATTGAATCAATTAACAGTTTAAAATGATAATTTAAGTAATTTGGAGATTTATATCCATATATTTACTCGTACTCGTACTCTATAACTAGTCACTCGTTTTATAACATCCTTATAAACAAAGCCTATCATAACCAATTTCACGTCAACCAGGGAGTCGGGAATTCAGAATCGTCAATTTTCGAATTTCTAGTTATAATATGTGTATCCTAATTTTAAACTAGGTAACTAAATGTAATCAGTTTGTCATTCTTTCAAGTCTCTTTGATCTCCACAATTTACCGTAAACCCTCAGCCTCACTTTCCCCCTCTTTCATCTTTTTTCCCCCCTTCCTATTTCTTACTCTTTTCCCTTTCTTGTTGCCTCACATGGATCTCATGAGCTCCCGATTTAAGTCATTTGGCTTTAGGAACAAACATAAACCTCCTCCTAATTCCACCCCGATTGTCCCTCCCACCCCTAGTTCCCCACCCCCATCAGGTCACAGTTCATCAACAACAAGTCTTCCAATGAATCATCAGCAGCCACAGCCTCAGTTAGGCCGACCGCCAAGTTACACAAACAACAGACCAACCAGTCCAATGGCCCATGGTCAACAACAGCCCCCACCCATCACCACAAACCTCCAATACAACCCAAATGCTCCCTTGAACGGCCCACCGGGTTATGGCATGCAACAGCAGCCGATGGCTCCAAGTATCCCACCGTCACTATCAAACACTCAGTATCCAGGGCGCAACCCTGCAGTCGAGGTCGAGGGTGGGGGTCGGAGCAAGGCCCAGCTGATTGTCGGTATTGACTTCGGTACAACCTTCTCAGGTGTCGCATACGCATTCGCGACCAACAACCAGGCAAGCGAGGATATCATCACGGAATGGCCCGGGGCCGGAACCCACGCAAAACAGAAGGTGAGCATAACTAACAAGTATATTCCATGAACGCGAGTCTGACAACGGGCTTCTCTACTAGATTCCCACCGTCCTCTACTACGACCAATATCAAAAGGTGGTAGGATGGGGCCCCGATATCGCCGACGCCCTCGCCCCGACCGGATACCCCAAGCCTCAAGTGCAGAAGGTTGAGTGGTTCAAGCTCCAGCTGATGCTCTCCGGAAACACCTATATTGATCCCATCAACCTGCCCCCCCTTCCCCCGGGCAAGTCCGAAATCGATGTTGCTGCCGATTATCTCTTCAAGTTACGACAAGCCATTCGTGCTCAGCTCCAAAAGGCCCTGGGAGAGGTGTTCACGCGCGAGGAACGCAATATCCGGTACTATCTGACGGTGCCGGCTATTTGGAACGACGCCGGCAAGGCCGCGACGCGGACCGCCGCCATTCAAGCTGGCTTCTTGCGCGACGAGAACGATAACCGTCTCACACTAGTGTCAGAGCCCGAGGCGGCGGCTTTGTTCTGTGCCAAGAGCGGACTGCTCAACTTGAAGGTGGGCGACGCTATCTTGATTGTGGATTGTGGCGGTGGTACCGTGGATTTGATCGCATATGAGGTTGAGGAAGAGCAGCCTTTTAGTGTGATGGAATGTACTGCCGGGTCTGGTGACTCGTGTGGTTCAACAGCACTGAATCGGAACTTCAGTAACATCTTGCGCGCGAAGATCCGGAAGATGAAGCTGCCGGATGGCTCTCGGACGGCGGGCAAGGTCTACGCGAAGTGTATCATGGACTTCGAGAACCGTATCAAGGCCGACTTCCGCAACAACGGACAAAAATGGGCAGTAGACGTGGGTATCGAGGCCGACTTCCCTGATGCTGGTATTGAGGAGGGCTACATGACATTCATGAACGAGGAGATCCTTCAGTGCTTTGAGCCTGTCGTGAACCGTATCCTCGAGTTGGTCCGCAACCAGATTATCGCCATTCAAGCACAGAACCGTCTGATCCAGGTAAGAGCGTCCCGGTCTAGTCTTCAGTCCAAAGCTAATGAGTTTGTAGAACGTCCTGGTCGTCGGTGGATTTGGTGCTTCGGAATACCTGTTCCAGCAGATCAAGCTCCACGTGCCGCCACAGTATCAGACAAAGGTTGTCCGCCCGATGGACTCGGTCGCTGCGATCGTCAAGGGTGCAGTCACCGCAGGTATTACCGAGCGAGTCATCACTCACCGTGTAGCACGTCGGCACTATCTGATGGCCACGCTTCAGCCATTCAAGGAGGGCTATCACCCAGAACAATACCGTGTGCCTAGTTTGGATGGCCGCGATAGATGCAAGTACACCCGTCAGATTTTCGTCCAAAAGGGAGAGCGTGTCAGGATTGGCGAACCAGTCAAGGTCAGCTTCTTCCGTCAAGTTGCACCTGGCGCCACCCTCATGTATGAGGATGTGCTGTACGCCTGTGACGAGGACGTCTGCCCCGAGTACACCAAGGATCCTCGTAAGTTGAGAGGTTACATTTTTCAAGCTTTGTGCAAATTACTAATGCTTTCCCTAGGCATCAAGGAAGTTGTCACACTCACCTCCGATCTATCACGCAAGAACCTTGAGACCGACTTTGAGCGCATGGACACTCCCCAGGGCATCTTCTACCGTGTCTACTTCGATATTTACCTTACACTAGACGGCAGTGAATTCAGCGCCGAACTGGTCTGCCAGAACGAGATCATGGGCCGCTGCCGTGCCAAGTTCCGTTGATCTACCAACTTTCACACATAGGAAACACATGAGAAAACACACATACGCGTGCCGTGTATACATCCCTCCTGGACGAGGCCCACGGCATCATCGGCGAGCAGAGGTGTGGCCATGACATAAGTTTTATTGATTTGAATTTCCTTCACATTAGTCTTGGATCGGTGAACTGGGTCAAATACCCCTGGCCGGATAATCGGGCATCACTGCACCGGCGAATAGGCGTTATCTGTGTTGATTCTTGGGGAAACTCTGTGCTGTTCCTAAATATATGCCACAGGTTGGTGAAACCATTTGTTTTGCCTACTCGTTTCCTTGGCGGTTCCTGTTTTTATCTTCTTCTTCTTCTTCTTCTTCTTCTTCTTCTTCTTCTTCTCTCCTTATTTTTTTCTCTCTCGCCTTCTTAGATACCTCTTGACTGTTGTGTTTTGTTTGAATGATATTGACGAGCTGGGGTCCTCATCTGATTTATAATCTCCAGCTCCATCTGCATATTTATACCTCCATGTACTCATGATCATAGGCATGTATCAAGCACATGTCATGGCATCTAACCTATCATCAAGTTCATCCATTCCACGTATTTAATTCTAGACAACAATTGAAGATTGTCAAACCTCCCCATTTTTCAGACCAGATAATAGAGAAGAATGAGAAACAAGTTCCAAGAGACAAAAAGTAAGAGTGGTAATACATCCAATTCATCCCAATCAAGTCTCCAGGTTAATGCTCCGACCAAACCGTGCATACAGCGCAACCTTCAGCTGCTGCATCTCCTCGCGCAGCTCACCAATGGAGTCCTCCAGCTTAGTGACATCTGTGTCGATCCTCTCTGTTGATGCAGAGAGCATTCCCTGCGCGTCTGATAGCGGTAGTTGGAAGAATGAGTCGCCGATTTTGTAACTGGGGGAAGTTGTCAGCGATGATCTTTTTCCTTTTTATGCTTTTTATTTTTATTTTTCAAATTCTTCCCAATCCCCCCAAACGAGGATCGCAGACTAGAACATATATAAAAAAAGCAAAGGGAAAAAAACGAGATAGGAAGAGGGGATTCCTTACGGCACAAGCTCATCTTCATCAGCAAGCTCCAATTCCATCGAAACCTCTTCCAAATCCTCCTTATCCTTCTATAAACCAGTTAGCAAGAAATCCAATACATCAGAAGACAAGATCCTTAAAAATCAAAACTCCATACCTGCTTCCCCTTCAACTGCTCCTCAAGCACAGTCTCGCGCTGATGCAACCGACTGAACCGGTTAATCTTCTCCTGATCCTCACGCCGGACTTCATTCTCATCATTAGCGGATGTCTCATCCGCCTTTGTGAGCTGCACGTTGGTGAGGTTAGCTTGAGAGCCTCGGCTTTGGCGGGGTTTGTCGCGCCGGAGCTTGGTGGGGGTTGGCTTACCATACGCGGCTGCACCATTTTGGCTGTCTGGAGGGGGGAATTTGGTTGGATTTGGACGGGGGATTTGTCCGTTCTTTTGTGTTTGGGCTTCTGTTTTGTCCTCGTTGCGGGTTGGTTGGTTTGCGCGTTTGATATCGGGTTTGAGTGGGTGGTCCGTGCGTGGCGACGAGATGAGTGTTGATATTTGTAGTTGGGAAAGCATTTTACAGTGTATATATACAGGGCGTAGAGTATTATCAGGCCTTATTTCTACTTCTTTTCTCCGTATCGATTCTTCTATTTTTTCTTCTATCTCCTTTATATATGTTTATATACATCTATCGGGTTGGGTAGGTCATCGGGTACTTGGAATGACATCATAGTAGCTCTTATTTCTCTGAAGAAGATTAAAAACATTTTGATAAAAGTCATCTAAACTCCAGAAATAGTTCTAAATGCTCTAGAACTTCAAGGCATCTTCTTCCGAGTTGAGTGTAGGCATCACGTTTTAGTGCCAAAACACCGCCACCGGAGAAACGAAACACCTCCGCAGGAACCCCGTCATCGTCACTCTTCAACTTCACAGGGGACCTCCTTCCAACCAGTAACCGAATCTCTCCAATTTCGGTTTAACCGTACTGGTCACACTTGTCCTGTATAAATTTGTCCTCGTGACCATCCACCTGAGCTATCGAGCTCCATCTCGCGCGAAAGCCTCATCCCAGCTTTCATCCGTCCTTCCACCCAACCCTTCGCGATCCAGCCAGCACCACATTGATCAAAATGCGAACACAATCAAGCGGAGTTTCACTCCTCCTCTCCACATTCCTATCAAGCCTGGCATCCGCGTCGGGCTTCGACTGCGCGCACATCAAGCTCGACAATTACAAATACGATCTCAGTCCCCTAAAAGGCGTCCATGAGCTGACTCACAGCGTCACGACGGATGACTTCGTCACGAATACAACCTACCGATTGAATATTTGCAATATTCTCGGGGGTTCTGCCCGGTACGGCGATGCGACGTGCGGGACTAGCAAAAACGGTACGTTCCTGCCCGAGATGACGCGACCATGTTGAAGGGGTCTTCTGCTTGGGGTAATCACGCTAATTGGTGTATTGTTTTTAGTCTGCGGATTCGTGCACCGAATAGCTAAGGACGGAAATGGCGGCTCTTCGTTCGGTTTCCCGATCGTCGGCCTCGATCCCGTTGGCCAAGGCTCCAAGAACCCCGAACTGAAGCGATTGAAGGATATCGACCCCGAGACCGAGGGACTGCGCGTGAAGTTGGAAGGCGGCTCATACAAGGGAGATGGAAATGACCAGAAGGCTAAGAAGGCAGGCGCTATCATTGAGTTCCAGTGCGACCACGAGCGATCTGGACTAGAAGGACTGCAAACGCTTGAAGCGGACCCAGAAACGAAAGAGCGACGACGGAGAGCGGAGGGTGAGGAAGGTGGTACGCCGGCAGGCAACAGCAGCAGTAGTCTGCAGTTCAAGAGCTTTGGTCTGTCAGATGATGATACCTACATCCTGAGACTGGATTGGCGCACAAAGTACGCCTGCGACGAGTACGAGAAGGAGAAGGGCGATACTCCCAGCTCTAACAGCTGGGGTTTCTTCACCTGGTTGATTATCATGTGAGTTGTCTTTCTCTTAGTTCCTAGGAACTCCATTTTCATGTTCCTGCCTCTGCATTGAAACACCGTGCTAATCAATCTATCCAGTGCCTTCCTCTGCATCGCTGCCTACCTCATCTTCGGCTCCTGGCTCAACTACAACCGCTACGGCGCCCGTGGCTGGGATCTCCTCCCCCACGGCGACACGATCCGCGATATTCCCTACCTCTTCCAGGACTGGCTCCGTCGGGTGGTCAATACTCTGCAAGGAGCGGGCTCGCGGGGTGGTTACAGTGCGGTATGAAGGATCCTGGCTTGGATAGATTGTTTCCTATAGTCGGTTGTACTTTTGGATGAGGATACAATGTCTCCTTTTTTTCTCACTACGCTGTATCGGCCGGGGTTTCAATACCTTGCTGTATGCAAATGTTTCTTTGAGTTTGTATGGCGCTAGACGAGGAGTTTATATGCTTGGCCATGATGAATGATATGATTTCAAGGCCAGTTATTGGGACCTACACGCCCTTGACGTGACAAGTTGTGTAAGAACGTTGGAACCTAGGGTGCTCTAGAATTTCTCAGATTTCGCATTACGTCTACTTTTATAGGTGAAGCCGTGAGGCAGCCTAGCTTTCCAAGGCTATGGGCATTCACAGACGAGATATACATTGCTGCCCTGACCTCTAACCGGCTATCTTCCATCAACGTCTCCACGTTGCGTCGGAAAATTGTAGCGAATTCTTGTAGTCCCTATATAAATACTTGGTTTACCTGCTTCGTTCAATTTCAACTCTGACCCTTTCGAGGAACCCCAGAGCATGTTGTTAACTTCAAACGACAAATTATATCCGGAGCCACTACCCGAGGTCTTCAGCGGTTAGTGCAGTCATAGACTGATTGACCCATCGATCCCATGGCCTAACTAGAAATCTGAATGGTAGCAATTAGCATGATTTTACTACGTGGACTTGTTTTGCGTTTGCTATGTCAATTGCCGAGTGAGATGTTTGATAATATTAAATGTCTATGTAGTTTGACTTCTACAAGATGAACGAACACTGTTTCTTTCTTTCTCGACACCAGACCGAGAGATTAAGATAAATTTGGTGTTAGTGTCGATTTGTGGAATCCACTGTTATAAACTGGCACATTCTCGTCTGATATAGTCTAATATAGCATAAGCCTGCACCTGGTGGCACTATCCACCGTATGTTTTGCCAATGGCACATTTCTCTGGGTAGCATTGGTTTGCGAAGAACTTGCCAAAGTCAGTTCGCCGGCACATTCTGGAGAAGCTTGGAGAATTTCCTCCTGCTCTTGAGAATATTTACGAGCGCATGATGAACCAAATTTCTAACCCAGACGATTCTGAGACCTGCAAGTTTATTCTTGGCGTCGCCACGACTGTTCTCTGCCCCATCACACTGGACGAAATGATGTTCTACCATTGAAGTGCGTGGTGATGCTGAAAACGCACTCGAGATAGTTCGACTTTGTGGCTCTTTCTTATCTGTTCAGGATAACACAATCTCCTTGATTCACCAATCAGCAAAGGACTTTCTCACAAAGAATGAGATATCCAGCGAGATATACCCCAATGGGAAGGAGATAATACATCGTAATCTACTCTGTAAGCAAAAGTTTGAGACACAATGTCTATAATTTGGGTGCACCTGCCTATCCGATAGAGCGGCCACCAAACCCAGATCCTCTACTTGCAGTACGCTATGCATGTGTCTAGAAGGTCACAACGATGGGGCCGTCTCTATCGTCTGTTCTCGGGATGGAAGTCGACTCACTTCAATGACCAACAGCAGCGCCAGAGTATGGAATCTGGGCACTAACGACCGCAGTCACGTCCTCGAAGTCGATGGACCTTCGAAATCTTCAATCTGGTGATTAGATAACACCCACGTCGCTACACTGTCGAAAAGTGCTATCGAGGTCTGGAATATAGCTACTAGGCAATCTAAATCAAAGTTTGAGCACCATTCACTCGACCTTTCTTGCATGGCCTGGTCGTGTGATCGACGTGGGCATCAGCTAAGTCTATCTGAATTTCAGACCCAGCTACTGCCATCTTGGAACCAATGCTGGAGGGCCATACGGGGGGCTATCTGGGTGTTGGCCTGGTCTCCAGATGGGGTCTCAACTCGCGTCAGGTTCAAAGGATGGAGCAATCAGAGTCTAGAATGTAATTACCATATAGTGCGTCCGTATCCTTCCGAGTTCTAAATGGATTAGGTTCATAGTATGGTCTTTGGATGGTAGTCGGTTTGCCTCGAGCTCGACTGATGCCTCCATCAGAGTATGGGATACTAAAAAGTGGGGGTTTATGATATTCCATGGCCATAAAGGTTGGCTTGAAGCGGTAGCCTGGTCTCCAGATGGATCTCAAGTTGCATCAGGGTCTCCAGATGGAAAGCTTCTCGGCCCAGGGTCTGATGATACGACTGTTAAAATATGGGACACAACAATCAAATTCCACCCAACCAACAGGGGCTATAATAAACCTGTGCAATTGATTACCCGGGTTCACGGTGGAAATCAAGTAGTATCAGAACCAATGGATGTAACCATCCAGATGTGGGATCCAACTACCGGTCAGTGCACAATTTTCCAAGGCCAGAACGGCAGACAAAGCAAGTTTTTCGGGAATCACGATGGAAATAACCTTGCATTAACATTGTATGATGGCATCTTCCACGTGTAGGATCCGATTACTGGTCCGCGCATGGTTTGCAGGAAATATGGCTATAGTGTTACAGAAATTGCCTGGTCTCCCTATGGAGATCAACTCGCATCAGCATCCAGGGATTATACCGTTCGGTTGTGGAGTCTAACTACTAGCCGCGAGGTCTCGATTTGCAAAGAGCATACCAACAAAGCTTCTCTAGTTTCCTGGTGTCAAGATGGAGCCCAACTCGCATCTGCATCAGACCATCGAATCGCTGTATCAGATCCGGCCACTGGCTAGTGTATCTTAAATTCCCCTACTGAAACCCGTGGCTTCATTCGGTTCGATAGCACATACTTAGACTTACACCACACTGGGCTTGGCATGCTTGAGGTTGAGAATCTGAAGCCTGCTTCGACAAGCTCCAATGACTCAAACTATGTACCAAAGCCACACGGGTATGGCCTCAGCGGAGACCTGTCCTGGATAACATATGATGGAACTAAGATCTTATGATTTCCCCCTGAACACCGAGCGGCCAGACTACATGCATTGACTTTGTCAACCGCAACTGTGATCATCGGTTGTGTCTCCGGCATCGTTGAATTCTATGAATCCTTCGCCGAATACCATGGTGGGTGACATACATGGTACGAAGTAGAAACACTCGGACCGCCACGATGGCGTGCCCAGGTTCTCCATATAGATTCGAAGAATTGGTGAATTTTTGTCATTTTAGTCATTTGGAGTCATATATTTATATCTTTCATGCATACCATACATTGCTGTACCTATTGACAAGCTCTAGACTTGGCATTTCAGTGCCAAGACTGCTCCACCCTTGGATTGACACTTCACCCCTTAATCCGGCAGTCCCGACCGATCCTCGGACTCCGAGTAGGTTCAACGGATTTAAAGATTTCGCTGCTGAATATGCAGAAAGGGGCAGAGTTTGCTGTGCGTCAAACCAATGGTAATAGTTGCTAAGCTGGGGAATTGCCTCGGCCGTCGACGTTCCAAGGACGGAATTTTGGTGCCTTACATTGACGAACGAAATAAGCGGAGTTATCTGGGTCGGCATGATATTGCGCAAGGCCAAAGGCATTTCCACTGCCGATTCGCTTGGCATTCGATTTGTCTCTCCGAGCCCTATTTGACATCTCCAGGATTGACGATTGTGCGTGAGAACTGCAGGAGCGGCTCCGCATACAGCATTCCTCAACATTGTATTATGTGTATCTAGGCGCATCACATAAACGACACTTGCCTAGACACGGGATATCAAGGTCCCAACTACGTACCACAATAATGCTACTGGTAACCAGCGGAAGAGACTTTCTCCATCTATCTCAAGCCATGACGATCATTGCCTTATTTCGAGTCCTGCAAGTCACAGCTTCACTTGATAACCACCAATCAGATGAAGTGTCAATATTGTGCAGGACATCTCAATGGTCAGTCGCTACAGTAGCTTGCTTCATCAGATAAGATGAAGGCCCGCAAATAACGCGGACTTCATTACGCAAAGGTGGACCTGTCGGAGGAAAGAAATGCACTACAACCCTGGATGGAAATGATCGGTCCTTCAGTCCTTGTACCTCTACAGAGGTTTTATGTATAAGTATAGCAGTGCCCGAACATAATGGGCTCCGGTAATTGAACTGCTGTGGAGTACTCGTTCCTTTCACAATGCGTTTTTCTGCTTCAGTTGCCCTGTTGGGCCTTACCTTGCCGTCAGCTTTGGCTCTTTGCCCATATGCAGAGCGCATGAACCTTGAAAAAAAGAGCACAACTCCGTCGCATGTGCACGCACCGCGCAAGGCGCCGTCCGACAAGAAAGGCATCTTTTATATGAACCGCATTGCCCCCGGCACGTCAGAGCTGTATGTTGCCAATGTTGATGGCACCGAGGAACGTCCTCTTCTCTCCAACCCGATCTACGAATACCACGCCACCTTCTCCCCCGATGGAGAATGGATCACTTTTACCGGAGAACGGAACGCTGACGGTAATTCGGATATCTATCGCGTCCGGACAGACGGTTCTGACCTTGAGGAGTTGGTAGCAACCTCCTCCATGGAAGACTCAGCTGTCGTGTCTCCGAATGGAAAACAAATCGCCTATGTTTCCACTGCCAATGGCTACAAGGCCAACATCTGGGTCATGGATCTGGAGAGTGGCAAGAAATGGAACCTCACAGACACCGCCTCGACCGCTGCCAACAATTCTCTTCCAAATGGATACTTCCGCCCTGCGTGGTCTCCCGACGGCCAATGGATTGCTTTTTCGTCGGATCGTAACTCGGGTTGGTACGGACACGGAGACCCGACCTTCCAAGGTGTGACTGGCTGGGAACATACACAGGAGCTGTCCATCTACGCTATCCGCCCCAATGGGTCTGACTTCCGTCGCGTGGCGTCGAAGACTGGTTACTCTCTAGGTTCACCGAAGTGGTCGCCTAATGGCGAGCGTATTATCTTCTATGAGATGACCCGCGAGAATACCTGGAACGCTCATCGTCCCGAGTCAATCGACTCCGCCAACTCCACCCTTGTCTCGGTGAAGTTCACCACAGGCGCTGACCGCCGCGTGGAAGTCCAAGGAACGGGCGTGAAGATCTTCCCTCA